TAGGCACCAATATTCAGTCTATTAGTGTCGCCAAGCAGTACCGCATTTCAGTTTCAAGATTGTGCTTGACGCAACGAAATGCAATTGTGATTTCGAGGTCATGTTTCAAGGTTGGTGACGGCTTCAAGCTCTGATGTCTGAACACCTAGAAAGCAATGAGTTGGTAGTCTAAACAATAAAAAAAATCCACCGAGGCATCTCTGAACTACAGAGAATCTTAGAATCAATAATTGAAAAATATACATAATAAATACATATTGTCATTTGCACAACGCAGCATTTTTCTATTAATATTTGAACGTTTTCGATAGTACCGTTACAAAATAAAGACGTTTACACACGTACCTAAAAGGCGAGGCAATTACCCGGAGTAAAAAAAATATTCAAAAGCAAATATTGACGGGTTCGTGTGAACCAAACTTATCGATTTACCGAAGAAGAGAAAAAAAACCGAGTATCGATTACTCTATTTGGAGTTTTAAATTGTATTTGCGATTTGTTAAAAGGGCTTAATTATTCGATTGATCGTATGCAGTTTGTGCTTGATTTATAGGATCTAATACGATGTAAAACAATAAATAATAGTTTAAAAAAAAACTAACAAAATACGCTTTTATCTAAATCCAAAAAATATTATTAGATACAAATAAAAAATAAATTTTATTAAATTTGAATTAAAAATTGTGTAAGAAAAAATGATTTTATAGTAAAAAAAGCGTATTTTAAAGTAAAAAAAATATTTGTTTTTCATTTTTTAGTTTAATTTCAATTTTTTCAGCTTTTTTTAATATTGAATTGTCATCGGTCCTTAATAAGTATTCCAAATTTCGAGTTAATCCGACGTTTTGAAGGGGGTCAAAATCACGTTCAAAGATTCCGCTACATACGTCTACGTAACATACATACGTCTGAAGCTAATAAAAGCGTATTTAAAAAAAAATCCTTGTCTGAGCGATTGACTAAGCAGTAGTTAGCGGCTCTTTCTGTTGCGGCGAGGTTCGTGGGTTCGATTCCCAGATCGGGAAAACATTCGTGCGATGAGCAGGTTTGTTTGCTCTTTATCTGGGTGCTTGTTTTTATATGTGTATATATTAAAACGTATATAAGTATGTGTGTCAGTCTCTGGTACCCATAACACAGGTTATCCTAATTTGGACCCGGATAATCGTGCGTGACTTGTTGAAAAATATATGGCGCCTTCAGCTCTAACACTAGGAGCAGGCTTAGGGACCCCGGTAACCGTACTCGTCGAACTCGACAAAGAGGTCGACGTGTAACCTAACTCATGCATCAGCTCGCTGAGTTTCTCGCCGGTTCTTCAAAGCGGGTCGCAATTCCGATCCGGTAGTAGATTCATTCGCGAAGCAGTTGCTCTTGAGTTGTTAGGTCTCCTTCGGAGGCGCTCGGGCAGTTGTTAGCAAATCCCACCCCTCCGGCTGAGCCACCTGTCCTGGTGAAACTGGAAAGGCCTCCGGGCCACCAGTAATCATTCAATTATAAAAATAAATAAAAAATATCGTGTATCTAAAAACAGAATGAGGTGAAATATGGAAATCATTTACAATAAAAACCAAAGAAAATTAGAATAATCTATATATTATATAAAAAAGAATTGCTGTTCGTTAGTCTCGCTAAAACTCGAGAACGGCTGGACCGATTTGGCTAATTTTGGTCTTAAATTATTTGTGGAAGTCCAGATAAGGTTTAAAAGGTAGATAAATATGAAAATACTGGGAAATCAATGGAAATAACAATTTTGTTTTTCCTTTGATGTGTCCCCCGTCGGACGGAGTCCTTTTGTTTGTTTTAAGTTTATTTTATACAAAAGCTTAGGTCTTTTATTTATCGATTGAGGCACTACGAAGTCTGCCGGGTCAGGTAGTACGCAATTTTTTTTTTTGAGATTGCTGGACTAGATTACCGGCCACTTGGTGTTAAATGGTTACCTGTAGCCGGTCGACATCAACAACGTCGGTTCCCTCCTCAAGACATGAGTTCTAAATCTCAGTTTTTTATTTCACTTAATTATTTCTGCGAACCGATAGCCGGCGCACTGTGAGCTCAATACTCATCTAAGCGAACAACAAATGAATATTCCAATGAAGATAAATAAAATATGTTAGCTCAGTGTTTGGTCGGTCAATATTTTTATCTCTATTTTGAGGAATCAGTGCACTATGAGTTTGTCTAGCTATCTCGTTCATACATTATATGGAATTTAAAAGAAAAAAAAGAAAACCAGCTTAAACAGAACAAAACAAGAATACGATAGATTCGGTCAAAGTCAATTAAATACGCCTTATTACAGATAACTCAAAAACAACGGGACAGATCTTGATAAATTTCAAATTGAACTACATAAGAAGCACCAGCTTCCAAATAAAATCTCAAAACATTTTTTTCTCAGAAAAATATCGAAAATAATTCGCATGAAATCAAGTTCTGATGTTACAAAAGAAACCGCCGTTCCTTCTTTTTTTGAAGTCGGCTAAAACAGTAACACACACACATAATGTAAACGCCATGAATTGAGCAAATTAGTGGAAATCATCTGAGTATATATATTTTTGATTTACTGTTTTTAGTATGCCATGAGAATAGTAAATTACGTTTAAATTATTTGTTGGTATTATAAAAATACAATTTGTTTGAAATCAGTAAACCATCAGTCATTTGAGTAGCGATGCATTTTATGTACTCATTTCTGCATAGCAAAATTATCCCTACTTCATTGAAACATGTTGAATGCCATCCTCCATACACGTGCAACACTCAAGGTCCCGCAACCCTTTGCACGTCCTCTCAAGCTTGCAATTAAAACTAAAATAGAACGAGACGTATATACACAAAAACAACTGCACAGAAAAGGACAGCGCGCCTCATTTACCCGGGAGGTTACTTCCACTCAGGTCGTCGGCCAATCAACGTAGAAGCAGAGCAAGCCTCGCATTGGCCGGCTTTTGAATAGAGAAATGTTTTTTTTTTTTTCGAAAATAGAACAAAAGCGAGGGTAGGTAAGCGAGTTTTGTTTTCGTCGAGTGTCATTTGAGTGGAGGAGCTTGTAGAGAGCGGACGTCTCCGTCTAATTGCCTTATTCACTATTGTATGAAGTACTCTGTAAGCTAGGCTTTTAACATTGTTATTCTGTTACGCGGAACCCTTCAATGCTGCTGAATAGGAAAACAAGTAAATTAGCCTTGTTTGTTTCTTAAGCGTCCTGTGGCGTATTGTACCGCAGGAAACGCGCTTTTCAAGTGTTTAACTTCATGTAAACAGTGTAATAGATAAGAATGTTGATTCCAAACGACGTATTGTGTTTTCGACCCATTGTTTCGTCATACATTTGATAATTATAATAATACTGTTATTTATCCGCTGACATCCACGCACGATAAAGTCGTAGTCTTATACTGCATTAAACTACCCTTTAAATTTTTTTTATTTTTTTTTTATTGCTTATATGTGTGGACGAGCTCACAGCCCACCTGGTGTTAAGTGGTTACTGGAGCCCATAGACATCTACAACGTAAATGCGCCACACATCTTGAGATATAAGTTCTAAGGTCTCAGTATTGTCACAACGGCTGCCCCACCCTTTAAACCGAAACGCATTACTGCTTCACGGCAGAAATAGGCGGGGCGGTGGTACCTACCCGTGCGGACTCACAAGAGTGTCCTACCACCAGTAAAGGAAGGAAGGAAGGAATGTCTCGTTTATCCACTCATCGTGCTTTAGGTATTAAGATCTAAATTCTTTTATAAAATTTTATGTGATGCGAAGACTGCGAAATATTTATACTGAGTTCCTAGTAAGAATAAATTTTAAGATATATGAATTAAAAAAAGGATAAGAAAAAATGATTTTATTGTAAAAAAACCCTGGGGTGCATGGTATCAGTAGTTATAAATATTTTATGAATGTATTTTATGAATGTAAAAGGGCCATTTTGATATTATCCTGAAGAGCACCCCACGCTTTTTTACAATAAAACCATTTTTTCTTACACTATTTTTAATTCAAATTTATTTTATAATTTTTAGTTGGATTTTCTGTAAAAGCGTATTTTTTTAGTTTCTTTAAACTATTATTTATTTTAAATTTTTTAGGTGAATTTCATTTTTTTAAAATATTTATTTGCCATCGTTTCTTAATAAGTATGCCAAATTTCGAGTTAATCCGACGTTTTGAAGGGGGTCAAAATCATGTTCAAAGATTCCGTTACATACTAACATACATACGTCTGAAACTAATAAAAGCGTATTGAAAATAGTGCTTTTCATACTGATTCTTTTCTGAAGTGAAATACCCACTGAGTTTCTCACCGGTTTTTCTTAGTGGGTCGCGATTTGAATCCAGTGGTAGATTTAGCTGGGAACTGCTCTTACTAAGGCCAGTGTTAATATGTTCTGTCATATGAGTCGATCGCGCGAAGTTGGAGTAGTCCCTTACCAACGATTAGGTAGGGAAAATAAGGCTTTTCTTTATTGCTTGGATGTGTGGACGAGCTCACAGCCCACCTGGCGTTTAGTTATTGGAACCCATAGACATCTACTACGTAAATGCCACCACCCACCTTGAGATATGAATTCTAAGGTCTCAGTATAGTTACAACGGCTGTTCTACCCTTCAAACCGAAACGCATTACTGCTTCGCGGCAGAAATAGACGAGGTGGTGGTACCTACCCTTGCGGACTCACAAGAGGTCCTACCACCACGTAAATTATAATTTTGCGGGTTTTTATTTTTATTACACGATCTTATTCCATCACCGTGGAAGTCAATCGTGAATATTCGTTAAGTACGTATTTCATTAGAAAAATTGGTACCCGCCAGATTGGGATTCGAACACCGGTGCATCGGTACACACGAATGCATCGGTCGTCTTATCCTTTAGGCCACGACGACTGAAACTGAATCCGAATTGCCGACAAAAGAATGACAATTTAAAAGCATCTGTTACTTTTGACAATTGACTGAAGTAAATTCTTGTTTGTTACAGGAACCTAGCAGTACCTCTGTCGGATCAGAGCGGCAACACATCTTTGGAAGCAGTTACAACGTTACGCAAGGAGAGCTGCCATAGACTAGAGTTTCTCGTAGAGCGACAGAAAAAACTGTGTATGCTTTCCGATAAAATGATCCAGGTAAACATAAAATTTCGTTCTTGATGGCCATAGTGGTGATAGGGGGTTATCACGCAAGCTGATCCTTCAAGCCAACTTCCGGGTGGCAAGTTTATCGAACTGTCAAAGGTTATTAGGTTTAAGCTACATTTTTGCAACTTTACAGTAGATCCATTTAAAGTTTAAATTTTGGTAAAAATATCATAACAAACAACAAACTTCTTCAGATATTTGAATGGAGTAAACTTAATTGAAGTTCAATTAAAAACATCGAACTGTTGATGCGAATACCAAATAAAACGCATCTTTCATTGCAAAGATGCTTTTGAAGCATCGACATCATCATCAATAATCATTAGACCACAGACTTCTACTGCTGGACATAGGCCAAGATTTACCATCGCCAGATTGGTCGGTCCTACGCTGCTAAGTGGGAGCAGTAGCTTGCTCTCAGTGGTCCACACTTGATAACCATTACATAAGTGGTAGGAATGAGGGGAAGGAATAGATAGAAAAACAAGGATTGACATGACATGAATGTCATTGAATGGATTTGACAAGTAAACACTAAATATTGAATTGATTGAGACGAAATTTTTCCGTTTTTAATACGCTTTTATTAGCTTCAGACGTATGTATGTTTGCAACTGAATCATTGAACATGATTTTGACCCCCTTCAAAACGTCGGATTAACTCGAAATTTGGTATACTTATTAAGGACCGATGACAATACAATATAAAAAAAAAATGAAATTCAACAAAAAAATGAAAAATAAATAGTAGCTTAAAAAAGTAACAAAATACGCTTCTATAGAAAATCCAACTAAAAAATAGAAAATAAGTGTTAATAAATTTGAATTAAAAATAAACCAAAAAAATAAATTTTTTTTTTTTTTTTAAAAGTAGCCTTTGTTCATCAGAGACAATGTCGGCTTCTAATGGAAAAAGAATTTTTCAAATCGGTCCAGTAGTTTCGGAGCCTATTCGAAACAAACAAACAAACAAATCTTTCCTCTTTATAATATTAGTATAGATAAAGCGTGGGGTGCATGGTATCAGTAGTTATAAATATTTTATGAACAGATATGAGTAGAAGGGTTATTTTGATAATGTCCTGAAAAGCGCCTCGCGCTTTTTTACCATAAAATAATTTTTTCTTATACTATTGTTAATTCAAATTTATTAAAATTTATTTTCTATTTTTTAGTTGGATTTTCTATAAAAGCATATTTAATTAGTTTTTTTAAACTATTATTTATTTTTACTTAGAATAACATTTGACGATGAGCATAGTATATTTGATTTCAATAAATGGCCGAAAGCCGGAGATATTAAGACGATTTCTCATTCCTAATTCATTCAAATGAGTATACTAATAAAGAAACCACAATATATTTGAAGTAATGTGATTGATAAATAACCAACCCTCAACGATAATCTACGTTAATGAACTTAATAATACGTTTTATTGCCAAATGAATTTCGAGGGTGCGAATAACGCTGCAGATGTTGCAGACTTTATTGGACTTGTTTGTTTCAATAAGGATCCGACTTATTTACTTGGCTAGAGCAAAGTATGAATATCTGATCCTTTGCTTGTTGCATACATTCATAGATAATTCGTCCAAAGACTATCCAAATATAGCAACGTATTTTTAAGGCATGTCTGGACGCGTAAGGTTGAAATCCAGAAATAAGGTAGATAGTACTTTACCTATTTAGAAAATGGACGGTGGTAGATTTCACATTATTCAAATGACTATTTCCAATTTTAAATCTCAAAGTCATCTACATCACGTAAACTCTTTTTTTTAAATATGGAAACTGATTTCTTGAAATGCCAATGTTGCAAGTGTCGAACTTATAAAAATAATCAATTATTATATAATAATAACATATATATACTATATTTATATGAAAAATGGATTGGGGATGAGAGGGCATTTGTTTATTTGAAATTTTAATCCATTGATGTATAATTAAATGTTGTCGACCACTGCTTTGTGACCACGAACATTGGAAACTATACGAAACATCGGGAATAATCAACTCGAAATTAAACCGTAAAATTAGTTTTAATTAAGTCAGCGAAAACCGAAAGTGCTAGAACTGCATTAATATTTTAATTGACAATTACAGGTTCTGCAGACGGGCGCGATGCAGGCCGTCGAAGAATGCCAGCACCAGTTCCGAAACAGCAGATGGAACTGTAGTATCGTCGAGAACTCCACCGACATCTTCGGGGGTGTCTTGAAATACAGTAAGTCATTTAGACTTATCATCATCAACAGCCCACAGTCATCCACTGCTGGACATAGGCCTCTCCCAATCCAAACCACTGAGCCCGGTCTACGGATCTCCGCTTTTTTTTGTATTACCCTTGTAGGCAGACGAATGCACGGTCCACCTGATGGTCGCCCATGGACTTCAGCAATGCCAGGGGCAGAGTCAAGCCGCTGCCTACCGTTGGTCTCCTCATCCACTTCTTGCCGGCCACCGTTCGGAGGTTATCGCACCACCTAGCCAGGGGGCGTCCCACGTTACGTCTTCCGCTGCGCGGTCTTCACTCGAGAACCCGTCTGCTCCAGCGATTCGGTTCAAAAGCTTACAGCCGTAATATAGACTGTAGTACACTTCCAGTAGACTTGTGATGGCGCAGAAATATTGGGAACCAAATTTAAAGTGTTTTTAACATCATATGAAAAGTCTTGTTAATCATCATCATCTTCTTCTTACTCTTTTTCTTCTTGGTCGTTTGCACTTTTGGCGCAGTGGTGGTGGTTATCAGTTCGGGTGGTGGTACCGTTCACTTTTTACCTACCTATGCTGATAGCCTTGAAAGGCTATATCAGCGTTACCCTAGTGTGTAGGTGAGCTCTCGGGGATCAAATCGAAGGTGTTGCTAGCGCTGGCCCTAGCAAGAGCAATGCTTCGTAGAATCTACCACTGGATCAGAAACGCGAAACACTGAGAGGATTCGGCGAGAAACTCCGTGGGCTGTGTCTATGGGTTAATTAACTCGTCGAGCCCTTCGTCGCAAGCAACGTGTTCGGCGAGGACGGTGCTTGTGGTACCTAAAAGCACCGTTAATGGATCGGGAAGATCCGTAATGACGTGTCCCGTCACAAGACGTCGCCATTACTCGCGTACCGCGGCCTTTCTTGTGCATTCGATGGTGATACCGTTTAGAGATGCCTTTATTTGGACCGACCATTGTAACGGTTATCGCCGCTGCTTCTTGCCTTTATCCCGCATTGATTGTGGTCGGGGAAACATGTTCTTCTATAATACTGCATAGGGATTTGACACTAGGGATTTGACACGACCGGTCACCCACCTCACGTCAACCCTCCCTGGGTTATATCTCCATATATCCATTCCAAAGTGCCATAGGGATCTACTTTTTCTGTTTCTTCATTAAGTGTTTCTTTTACTACATCCGTTATTACTCCTATGATGCAGAAGGACTTTCAGGTATGAATTAAATTATTTTATTGAAGATGTACTTCAATGCGAGTATTACAACATGACAATCAAATTCTGTTTAGATTAAAGACGGCATAAGCGACCGTTATAGTTAAAAAAATTGAAAAGAATAACAGAATCTAGATTTCGATCGGGAAATTTAAATTTAGATCGAATACACAATGTTTCATGATAATGTTTACAGGATACGATTTAAACAAAAAAAAAAACAGTTTTAAAAAGCAGCATATCTTCATAACATCATATTAGTTCAAAAGTATTCGTTCCACTGAACATTCTTTGATGTTTCCTGTGAACCGTCTCTAATTTACAATTTTGTATCGTGTTTTTTTTTCAAAGAAATTTAGGTAGTATTGATAGGTGGAGTTAATCTGTTAATCTGTCTATTATAAAGCTGTTTTCTGACTTTGGAACCGTCTTTGATGTTGTTCAAAGGAATATTATTCGCGACTGAGGACGTTTGGTAGGGCACAAACTTTTCCCAAATGGAATAGTAACATTAAAATTCAGTCATTTATGTAATAGATTTCGATCAGACTTAAATTCTGCCATTATTTGATACTGTTCATAATTTTGTTAGATGCTGAATTCTTCGAGTAAGGCCATGGGTGTACTTAACTTCTAACAATACGTTGTTACATATTAAAGAAAGTAAGCATTAAATATATTATGTTTTTTTTTATTGCTTAGATGGGTGGACAAGCTCACAGCCCACCTGGTGTTAAGTGGTTACTGGAGCCCATGGACATCCACAACATGTAAATGCGCCACCCACCTTGAGATATAAGTTCTAAGGTCTCAAGTATAGTTACAACGGCTGCCCCACCCTTCAAACCGAAACGCATTACTGCTTAACGGCAGAAACAGGCAGGGCGGTGGTACCTACCCGCGCGGACTCACAAGAGGTGCTACCACCAGTAACACCAGTACGTAGAAACAGAAGTATAAATAGTTATTATTGTGTATACTCCGATATGAATTACTATTATTAAAAGGCAATTTCGAAAAAAGATTCAGATTCAGAACGCGAGATTCAGTAGTAGATTTTATTATATGATTTATTATTTTTAATGAATTAGTTATTATAGGCTAGAAAGGTTATTCAACTTTATTCTCAACTCGATGCCAACAGAGCTGATATTCATAAAGAGCTTGACCTACTGTTAGGCGATAGCTTGAATGAAAGTCAAACTCCCAGTAGTTGTCCTACGAAATTATCAAAATTCCTGTAAATTTTTTTTTATCCTACCTATGCTGATAGTTTTGAGAGGCTATATCAGCTTCGCCCTAACGTGTAGGTGAGCTCACGGGGCTCAAACCGGAGTGTTGCTAACACTGGCCCTAGCAAGAGCAGTGCCTCGCAGAATCTACCACCGGATCGGAATCGCGACCCACTGAGAAGATCCGGCGAGAAACTCAGTGGGCATTCCTGTCATTGATTTGGTCTAAACTAGTCCAAAAACAGAGTATGCTATTCTGCATATTGTCAGAGCCGCAGCCAATAACGAGGCTAAAGCGGTCGCGAATTCTCAAAAGAATAATATCCGGTAGAATTTAACGCGAACACCTGTTTATTTTTGTACATTTCTGACGGCTGCTTCCTTCGCAGGCCGGTATTAACCGACGGACTGCATCTATTCCAATGTCCGATGGGATTCATTCTCGCACGACGATAAGTTTGTTTTTATATGTCGAGTGCGGCGATCACGTGCGTTCTTGTTGACTGAGAAGCTCAGCGTGTTTATTGTAAACCATGAAAGACGCGGCCGATTTCCGTGGACCCCTGTCGACTACGAGAATTACTTTTACGTGTCTTCAATCGTGCGGCTCTAGTTGGGTGGGCGACGAAAGAACCGTTGGTCAACGAACTATGTACGGATTTTTAAGTTGTACTTAATATAGGTTTTGTTTTGAATTATTTTTGACGCGAGCGTAAAATTACTTTCGGTTGATTGATAAATAAATCAATTGGGAAAGCAAAAAAATCTCTACTCATTTCCTTTTTCGTATCATTATTAATTACTAGCTGTACTCGTCCGCTTCGCTGGGCATTTAAAATTAACATTATTATTTCTCACCCCCACAAAGATTCTCATTATTAACGCCCCCGCAACTGGTGTAGGGAGTCCAACACTCATATAAATATTAGCCTATCCATTAATTACATGTATTTGCTACATGGATACCAAGTTTCAAGTCAATTGGATGCATGGCTCAGTAGTTATAACGGAACATCCGTAAAAACCACTGTAGATTTATATATTAAGTAGTACAGATTTTTTTGCTTAGTTTGGTAAACGTGCTTATGGCTGACCTGGTATTAATTCGTTGCTGGAGCCCTTAGACATCAACAATGTGAATGCTGAAAGATACTGTGGCGGTAGGTAGAAGGTTACGTGTTCAAATCACGTCGAGGTCACCACTTTGGATGTATAGCGACGAAACGAATCTTCCACCGAGCGGGTGATATTGCTCGGTAGACCGACATTCCGAATGTTGGTTTTTTTCCCTACCTAAGCTGATAGCCTTGAGAGGCTATATCAGCGTAACCTTAACTAGTAGGTGAGCTCACGGGGCTCAAGCCTGATGACGTTGCTAACACGAACCCTAGCAAGAGCCGTGCTTCGCAGAATCTACCATAGGATCGGAAACGCGACCCACTGAAAAGATCCGGCGAGAAACTCAGTGGGCTGTGTCTGATGGTTAATTTACTCATCGAGCCTTTCGTCGCAAGCGACGGGTTCGACGAGAATGATGACCGGTGAATGTTGTTCTTCGAAACTTTTATATATGCGAGCTTATCTTGAAAATGTCGTAAGCGAGATTCAGGCATTTGTCAAATATCTTGTGTTGTGTGATGGCTACGCTACAATACCTTGAGACATGAGTTCTAAATCTCAGTTGTATGGTAAAACAAACCTACCTTTCAAACTAGAACCCATTAACGGAAACAGTAGGTTGGGCGATGGTAGTTACCTACCGTTTTGTGAAACCGCAAGGTATCGCCGCTCTGTCTATTTCTGCCGCGGGACAGTTGTCGTACTGCAAAAACTGAGACTCATAACTCATGTTTGAAGGTGGTTGGCGCCACACGTTGTTCATGTCTGTGTGTTCTTAACCAGATGGCCGTGAGTTTGTCCGCTCATTTAATAATAATTGAGCTATTTGCTATTTTTCAGAATCACGCGAATCGGCTTTCGTGCACGCGTTGTCCTCGGCCGCTTTGGCTCACGCTGTGGCCAGGGCCTGTAGTCGCGGCGAGCTGAACGATTGCTCCTGTGATTCTAAGGTTCGGAAGCGGACACCAAGACACTGGCAATGGGGAGGGTGCTCTGAGGTAAAGAGTTTACCACATTACTAAATAAATAACTTTTTTCCTACCTATGCTGATAGCCTTGAGAGGCTATTTCAGCTTCGCCCTAACATGTAGGTGAGCTCACGGGGCTCAAACCGTAGTGTTTCTAACACTGGCCCTAGCAAGAGCAGTGCTTCGCAGAATCTACCACCGGATCGGAAACGCTTTTGGGATATCTTTTTTTCCTATTTGAAGTCGGTTTTGTGTTATATCATGTCTATTTCTATTCTTACTGGTGGTAGGACTTCTTGTGAGTCCGCATGGTCAGGTACCACCGCCCTGCTTATTTCTGCCGTGAAGCAGTAATGCGTTTCGGTTTGATGGGTGGGGCAGCCGTTGTAACTATACTTGGGACCTTAGAACTTATATCTCAAGATGGGTGGCGCATTTACGTCGTAGATGTATATGGGCTCCAGTAACCACTTAACACCAGGTGGGCTGTGAGCACGTCCAACCACCTAAGCAATAAAAAAAAAATTACAATTATATAGATGCTTGTTGTAATTTCTCAAATTGTTCGAGTGGTCGTTCCTATATGACTATTCGATACATTGTTTCTGTTTCAGGACATTCGCTACGGAGAAATTTACAGTAGAGACTTCCTCGATTCTAGAGAAGACCGAACCACTGATGAGGGTCTCGTCAATCTTCACAACAACGACGCTGGAAGACGGGTGGGTATACATTTGCAACTTATTATGCACGATGCTTTGAGTTCAGCTTTTGGATACACGAAATACATCGACGGGTGAAAGGATATTAGGTTTGAGCGACATTTTTGTTAATTTACAGCAGGATTTTCATAACTCTAAATTCCTCTTACCTATTTAAGTAGCCTCTAGGGGTTATACTAGATTCACCGAACTTGTAGGTGAGCTCACAGACATCAGGCTAGACCACGTTGCTAACACTAACCCTAGCATGAGCAGTGCTTTGTAGAATCTACCGGATCGGTAACGCGATCCACTGAGTAAATCCGGCGAGAAACTCAGTGGGCTGTGTCTGTGGGTTAATTTACTCGCCGAGCCCTTCGTCGCAAGCGACGGGTTCGACAAGAACGATGACCAGTGCTTGGGGTACCTAAAAGCACCGGTCTATAAGGGCTCCTGTGATGATGGGCCCTGAGTTTGCTTTTTTTTTATTGCTTCGATGGGTGGACAAGCTCACAGCCCACCTGGTATTAAGTGATTATTGGAGCCCATAGACATCCACAACGTAAATGTGCCACCCACCTTGAGATATAAGTTCTAAGGTCTCAAGTATAGTTACTACGGCTGCCCCGCCCTTCAAACCGAAACGCATTACTGCTTCACTGCAGAAACAGGCAGGGCGGTGGTACCTACCCGAGCGGACTCACAAGAGGTCTTACCACCAGTAACAAGTGCTTGGAGTAGTGAAAAATTCATCCTTAGTACGTCTGTTAAAAAAATACCATTCCCAGGCTGTCCGATCCCGCATGCAGCGCGTGTGCAAGTGTCACGGAATGTCGGGCTCCTGTTCAGTCAGGGTTTGCTGGCGTCGGCTGCCGCAGCTCCACGTGGTGGGGGACGCGCTCTCCACTCGATACGAAGGCGCTTCCCACGTGAAGGTCAGCGTGAGTACTTGTTCTCTGTACTAATGTGTTGTCGCGAGTTGAGGCTCGGGACAAACTTTTCAACGCCAATTAATATTCATTTTTATTAATATACTAGCTGTACCCGTCCGCTTTACTGGGCATTTAAAATTAACGTTATTATTTCTCAACCCCACAAAGATTCTCATCATTACCGCCCCCGCAACTGGTGTAAGGAGTCCAATACTCATATGAATATAAGCCTATCCGTTAAGTACATGTATTTTCTACATGGATACCAAGTTTCAAGTCATTCGGACGCATGGTTCAGTAGTTATAACGGAACATCCGTAAAAACCACTGTAGATTTATATATTAGTATAGATTAATACGTGAAGCAAAAACTTTGTACCCCTTTTTACGAAAATTACCCGGACGGAGGAGTATGAAATTTCCCACACTTATAGAGAATATAGAGAAGGAGTGCAGAATGATAATAGTTTTTTAAATTATGCATACAAAATTCATTAATACAATAAAAAAAAACCTTACACACACTACCATGTATTTGACACACACACACACACATGCACACTATTTGTTTAATGTCAAACTTTTCTTACTGCTTAAAGTCCGTGGTCAATCGAGAATAGATTAAATGTTGTTTCTTTGTTAATATTGTATTTTTGGCGAAGTCTATGATTATAGAAGTATAATAGTCTATGAAAATAGAATCATTATTGTGTACAAAGTTATAATTTCAATTAATTATAGTCGAATGTTCGACTACCGGGGGACTACTAGTTTTAATTATTACGACAATTAAGGGTAAATTTTATTATCTCTATTGAGGCGATCCGTTCGTTTCACTTCGAATATAATTCTCGTGTATGGCACAATTTTATAGTAATATCGGCTCTGTCTATAATGTTCTAGAACATTCAAGAAATGTTCCGGTTGTTTCGATATCCGTGTTTGCTATTTGACGACAGATGGCGTTACTCGGAACGACATATTATTGCCAATAGTTTTTAAATACACATAATATGGTTATGGCTACGACCATCCTGGCCAATTCTGTCCTCAAACGTTCATAGTTCACGGCTAGAAAAGGTCGGTCAGGCATTTAATACAATATCGACTTAAACAGTCATGGAAACTGGAGATACTTCGTATTGGACATTATTTTGTTTTTTTATAGTAATTATAACTTAAAAACCCATTGAATATAGAACTAGCAAGTGCGATGACACGGATGTAGCAGTTGTTAATTGAATGAAATGTGCTAAGTTTAACAAAATATGAATTAATGGAGTTACCATTAATATTATTGGAACGAAGTTCCTTAAGGCAGGCTTGAAGGGGATAGGGATTTTGCTGCGCGACCGAACTGAAAAAAATGTGATAGTAAAACCGTAAGAAAAAATCTGTGGAAAAAAGTGCGTGGAATAAAACCGTTAAATGAGACGTGCGCAGGCGCGACAGTCGTATACACAAGCGAGTAGTGTATAATACCTTTTTCTTTCTCCTTCTTTCTTTTCGTTCTCTCATCCCTTCTCTCTATATTTTGTAATTATTTCTATTTCTATGTAATTTTATGTTGTCAAACAAAAATAAAGAGACATATTTTGTTATTTTAATTGATAATTTGAATTACGATTTTATTTTTATTTTACGTAATTTATTATTTCCTAAAATACTGAATTTCCTAAATTCTTTTCTGTACTTAAATAAAAAGTACTCAGCAAAATTTAAGAGAAAAATCAGGAAAACCTACATAAAACTGAGCACGTTTTTTTTTTGCAAATAGTGTCGATTCTACATTAGCCGAAGGAACTTCGTTCCTACCTGGTGTCCCACGACACCACATATTTCCCTATTTTTGCAACTACATCACTTGCTATGGTTGCGTAACCTTAATTAGTGGCTTTTCGATAGAAACTTTTCATAAACAGAGAGTGGGTTTCTTACATGTACTCCGTTGGTAGATTCACACCGTGGTAGATTCTTTCTAGTGTTAAGAATTCGTCCCTGATTGATCCCCGGGAGCTCGTCTACCAAACCGCGCGTAGTTGAAATAGTCCCTTAGGTTACCATTGATTAGGTGGGAAAAATACCTCTTCCCTCCATACAAATTATTTACAGTTGTTATCAGCTACATTCTAGGCGGTAAATTGGAAATAAAAGGCACCTAAGTAGCTCTTAAATATCCTTACTGGAATTTTTATGGCGTCACCTAAATACTAAACAGAGCTTAGAGATTAATCTTTTAAAAGGGATATGGTATTTCGTTACAGGTCGTCGAACGCAAAAAGGGCAAGAACTTACGAAAAATACGACCGATACACGCCGACATGAAGAAACCAAACAAAACCGATCTAGTTTACTTAGAAGATTCACCAGACTACTGCGAACCGAATGAAGAGTAAGTCACTTGATGCTTGAAAACGTTTAACTAAATTTGTAGGTCTATTTTTTTTTTCCCGCAAGTTAGTAAACTATAGGCTAATTGTATTTGAGATTAGGCTAGGGTTTTGTAAACTTTTCCTTGTTTTTTTTTATTGCTTCGATGGGTGGACGAGCTCACAGCCCACATGGTGTTAAGTGGTTACTGGAGCCAACAACGTAAATGCGCCGCCCACCTTGAGATATAAGTTCTAAGGTCTCAGTATAGTTACAACGGCTGCCCCACCCTTCAAACCGAAACGCATTATTGCTTCACGGCGGAAATGGTGCTGTCACCAGATGGTGGGTACTGTCACTTTTATAGAGCTGGCATGCAAACATGTAATTTATCTAAACTATGTGTATCATCATTATCCTGCACTTCTCCCAGTCACCTGGGGTCAGCGCAACATGTTTTCTCCTTCCATACTCCTCTGTCATATACCATTTCTTCGCTCACTCCCTTCTTACACATATCGTCTTTCATGCAATCTATCCATTTTTTCTTAGGTCTACCTCTTCCTTTGTAATGTAATATAATAATATATGAATTCATACATTCACCGACTGATCATTGATTGATCCGTTATGATATGAAATAATATGTTTTGATAAATTGAAAACACAATGTACATTAACTGTTTACCAGCAAAATTACCGTGATTGCAACTATTCATATTGGCAGACTTAATATGGAATTTGATTCTCATATATTCTGAGCATCGATGCGGCCTTGCTTAGATTAAGTTATCGTTTTAAATAGTCGATTAAATCCCTCAGAAAGAGATAAAAAATAACAGAAAAAATAACAGATTAACAGAACGATTTGTGCTAAAGGTATTATAGAATAACGGCCGTCTGGTGTAGTGGTAAGTGACATGGTCACTACACACGCGGGTTCGAATGGAAGGGAAGATGTTTGTATGATAAATATAAAATGTCTTTTCCAGGATTATGAATGTATATGAAATATATGTATGTGTATAATAAAATCTTACCTTTATTTCCGTTATCTGGTACCTGTAACACAAGTTCTTTACGAACTTAGCACGGGAGAAGTTAACGTGGCGTGATTGTTAGTAAATATTCATTTATTACTAGCTGACCAGGCAGACTTCGTAATGCCTGAATCGATAAATAAAAGACCTAAGCTTTTGTATAAAATAAACTTAAAACAAACAAAAGGAATCCATCCGACGGGGGACACATTAAAGGGAAAACAAAATCGTTATTATTATTTAGTTCCGAGCATTTTCATATTTATCTACCTTTTAAACCTTCTCTGGACTTCCACAAATAATTTAAGACCAAAATTAGCCAAATCGGTATAGCCGTTCTCGAGTTTTAGTGAGACTAACGAACGGCAATTCATTTTTATATAGGTATCGCTCATTTGGAGTGACAGTGACATAATTGCTAAAAAATGTGAAATTGATTTAATTATACCACAATATTTTTTTTTCGACTTAGATACGGTTTGATTATTTTTTTTAAAAAATTAGTCTCCTTTCAAGCCTAGACTTCAAACTACGAAAGTAAAATAATAGAGATACTCATTACCTGTCAGAAATATTTAGAATTTTCATTAGTATTACGAAAATTGGCGTAGTGTAAAATTTTGACATTTACAGTTGTCACAGTCGTTCCAAATGAGCGATATATAGATTTATTTATTTATTTGTGGTACTGTCAAAATAAACATTTATGCTCAATTTTCCAGGCTCGGGATCCTGGGGACTCGTGGTCGGACCTGCAATCGAACCTCGGCAGGTATCGACGGGTGTCGCCTCCTGTGCTGTGGGCGAGGGTACCAGACGAGGGTCCAGGACTACGAGGTGAAGTGTAAGTGCCGATTCGTCTGGTGCTGCCGGGTGCAATGCGAGATATGTAGATTCAAACGCGACCACCATGTCTGCAATTGAGGATACGAAAATACAGTTTAACTCTGAGTTGTAGACATAACTGAAACTGCTTCTACGATTTAATCTCACGTTTATTATTGTCAGCGTTTTATTACTGACGTTTTGATATTTGAATATTGTAACAGATACGACGCACTTAGTTCTTAAGCTGCTTTCAGACTACTATACTATAGTGCCATATAGTATATAACGTGTCTGTGTCTGAGGGTGCCCCTGGGTACGCCGATGTTACATGAGGCCCAGTCGCATCACTCCCTAAAAGGTGGTCTATGGGTCGAGAGACACGGGGCCGAGTCGCACCACTTCTTGACACGTCACCACCGGTAGACAACCGGTGAACAGGAGACTCTGTGAGGAGGATCTCATCAAAGAGGGGTAGACGAAGTAAACGTGTCCTTTTATAATATTAAGGTGTCATTTCTCGAAGATTCTGCAGGCCAGAGATGTGAAAAGTTTGTCGTCGTATAATCGAGACAAAATCGCACAGTCACGACGTGCAGTGTCCAGTAACCGAACTTATTTGTTTGTATTTAAAAAAAAGGTATTGAATTCTCCACACTGCGCCACGTACAATCGCTAGAGGGCGTTGCCAGTAATTTAGAAAAAGGTTTAAATTAATGGAAATGAAATATTCTGGCGTTACAAGTATAGCAGCTTATACTTAGCCAATAATATATAGTATAGTACAGTGTGAACGTGTCCGTAACAATGTATGGTGCGCGATATTGTTGTACTATGAGCTATATACTATATGATATTATATTATAGCGTAGTCTGTAAGCAGCTTTAGTCTTTGTATATCTTAGTGACCACGAAAACCGTACAGTATTCAAAAACACAGAAATAATGTAATAATAATAGTAATATTAGCTGGGAACAAATCATGCATGGTCATCAGGCCCCAATTTATGATCACTTGTATTATGGGTACCGGAGGCTGATACATACTGATAAATGTCTAAATATATACATTTATAAATAATAAACACCCAGACAAAGAGCAAAAAAATCTGTTCAACATACAATGTTTGTGCGATGTGGGAATCGAACCCTCGACCCTTAGCACAACAGTCAGGGCCGCTAACCACTGCACCACCGAGTCAGTAATCTATAAAAATAAAAATGAATTGCTGTTCGTTAATCTCGCTAAAACTTGAGAACGGCTCGACAGATTTGGCTAATTTTGGTCTTGAATTATTTGTTGAAGTCCAGTGAAGGTTTAAAAGGTAGATAAATATGAAAATGCTCGGAATTAAATAAAAATAACAATTTTGTTTTTCCTTTGATGTGTCCCCCGTCGGACGGATTCCTTTTGTTTATTTTATACAAAACTTGAGGTCTTTTATTTATCGATTGAGGCACTACGAAGTCTGCCGGATCAACTAGTAGACAATAAAAAAAACGAGAGATTAATCCGTAAAAGTGATTTTGAATTAAATGAATATCTTTGTCGTTTTAGATGATTCATTCATTCGCGTTTCAATCTACTTTTTGTCTGTGTTACAACCCTGTGTTAGAATGGAAATAATTTATGTTTACGTAGGGACATAACTGACGTTGAATCCAGGGACAGAATTCGCGGTATTTCCGAACAAAAATAAACATAACAATAAATAAATATGCACCGGAGTAGAGTTGATCCTGGAGCCACTGCGGTCATCCACAGTGCGTTTCCAGAGGTCTTTTTTGCCACGTACCATCCGGCTATGGAATGAGCTCCCCTCCACGGTGTTTCCCGAGCGCTATGACATGTCCTTCTTCAAACGAGGCTTGTGGAGAGTATTAAGCGGTAGGCAGCGGCTTGGCTCTGCCCCTGGCATTGCTGAAGTCCATGGGCGACGGTAGCCACTCACCATCAGGTGAGCCGTATGCTCGTCTGCCTACAAGGGCAATAAAAAAAAATGCGTGTAAAATAAACACGCGTTCCGACGATAAACAAATAATTTAGTTATGTACATATAAGTCATGTAATTTGTAACAAGAGAGGAGTATTAAACCAACACTCGGGCAAGACAGTTGTGTTCCATTCGAACAAGAAACTCCCTTCAGGTCTAATACTCCTCTCTTATTACAAATTACATGGCTTATATGTACACTAAAATTTAACTAATACATTTTGTAAGTGATAAGGCAATACTAAATAGAAATCCTCCTGAATGTTTGCGTTTTGATTGATAAATTGGGGCAATCTTGAAAAATATTTAAACAACAACAAAAAATATCTATTAATTAAAAAGACTGCATTCGTTTTGTTCTAGTATATTCTGTCATTTAACATTTTAAAAGAAAAACGTGTTCATGATTTATCCTGACTGAAATTATTATTTGTAGTGTTACATAAAATTCATATTATGCTAAGCTTTAATAATATTTACAGTATTAATAATTTATTATTTAGCTTGTATTTTGTGTAAAAAGATGTAAATATCTCCCAGGTAGTCAATAAGTGTACTATTTTATTTAGTTTCCCTTTTTGGTTTTCTGTAAATACCCACTGTGCTTGCACAGTTAAATTTTCTACCTCAGAAGATCTTCTCATTTTCGTCTTTTAGATAATAGTACGACGTTACGTAATGTAGTAATTAGAATTAACAAGATTTCTAATTTTTCAATAATATTTTTCTCATTAACAAAAGTTCTTAAGCTTAATATTAGATTTCCTTCGAAGATGACTGACTTCTGTAGACGAAGTATTCGATAGACAGATTCTTTAGCAGATACGTCTTATATTTGTCATTACCGATGTTGTTAGATTCGATTTTACAGTTTACATAAATTGAATTTGTCGATAACTTACCTATTGAGGCAACAGGTCAGCACTTATTTTCCAAAATTTTCGCCAAAACTATAAGGATGAGCTGAACACGACGTCACATGGGGCTAAAAAAAGCGATAAGCTAACCATAGGTAATACAAAACATAGCATCATGCGTTGGTGCTTAATTTTTTTTTAATTGCTTAGTTGGGTGGACGAGCTCACAGCCCACCTGGTGTTAAGTGGTTACTGAAGCCCATAGATATCTACAACGGAAATGCAGCCACCCACCTTGAGATATAAATAAGGTCTCAGTATAGTTACAACAGCTACACCACCCTTCAAACCGAAACACATTACTGCTTCACGGCCGAAACAGGCGGAGTGGTGGTACCTACCCGTGCGGATTCATTAGTGGTCCTACCACGGGTAATAAGCTTATCGCAGAGACCACACTTTTTAAAGGCACCCATGACCACTTAATTTTTATTAGCAAATAAACAAAGGTCGGGTTAATTCGTATTATTACTTACAAGTTGAATTAAGTTTACAAGTTAGTAGGAACGCTTATTTGAAACAGCGCTTAAGCAGTGCTTTATAAATTAACTTAATTAAGCGTTATCGCTTTTAACATTATGAGCTCTTTACGACATCAGGCCAAACAAATAAATGCAATTGACAAGTACTATATACAGTATTTTTAAGAGTTTTAACGTAAATACTTCGCTAACGATTCTTCTTCTTTCTTCTTCTTTTTCTCCACCTTATCCCACTAGGTGGGGTCGGCACAGCTAATTTTTCACTTCCATTCTCTTCTATCAGCCGTCATCTCAACACTCACTCCTCTCTCTCTCATATCGTCATTCACACACTCCATCCATGTCTTCTTCGGTCGACCCCTTCCCCCTCTACCTTGCACTACCATTTCCATACATCTCCTAGTCACATGCATCTTCTCTCTACGCATCACATGTCCATACCACGCTAACCGTTCACTCCTTAATTTGTTGTTTACCGAGGCCACTTTCACACTTCCTCTGATATACTCATTCTTTATCTTATCCATTCTTGTCACTCCACACATCCATCTCAACATTAAAGCCTGCGATTCAAAAAAACGAACCCTTTATTACTATGCAGTCTATTTTTTCTATTGTTATGAATTTTAAGGGGTTTATGATACACCACTACAAAATAATACGTTGTAAATATCGTTTGAATAGTTTTATTAATTTTAACTTATTGTATTAGAATGTGATAGCATATTATGATAATTCCTTTGTAGAATTACGTACCTTCATTTATATCATTCAATTAGTATTTCGAAACATTGTTAATTGTAAATAATTAGTTGTAGTTTGTAATATACTTAATAATCTTGTAGACTTATAAACGCAATATGGCATTATGTGTGGTACTAACTACATTATGATAACATTTTACAGTTTAAAAAATGAATTTAAATCTTTTTATCGTTTTTGGAGAATCTTTAAAATTATGGATGTTTTAACTATGCCAACTGTCAAATTATGACGAAAATATTACTTAGGTTCCTCTATTCAACGACAGATGGCGCTAAACCATAAATAAGAGTACCGCTCATACTGTTAAATATTAATATGTATTGTATTTAAGTTAGGTACTTAGTTCTAAAAGCCAAATCGAATAACGCGTTTATATAATAGCTGTTTATATGGTATCGCTAATGTCCATTTCATCTCTAGATATTATAATAATATATTGTAGTAGTTCTTTTTGGAATTGTATTGTGTAAACTGAAGAGTGAATTAATTCCACGACATTTTTCAATATATAGTTCATGTTAATAATGATATTTTTTTATTCTTGTAATCTTTATTGCCCTCTGATATTCAATGTAGAATGAAGATTTGGTGAACATCTCAATACATCCAAGTCTGTTTGAAATTTTAATAAAAAATACTGCTATCGGTTCAAATAACGTAAGTTCTATGGTAGATCAAACAATGGCAGTAAAATAGTTTTAAAACGATCTATATTTACGTCTGTGTACGTGTTTTTTACGTCTTTTACAACTAAATAACGTAGTTTAATGAATTCTTAGCGAATTTATGTATTTTGTGAACCAAATCAACTAGGAATCTCTGGTCGGTTTCTTTATGGCTTAAGTACTTATTAAACCATTTTAATTATGAATGTACAATGTGAATGGAATAAATTGAATGTTTTAGACATTAATGCTTTTATTTTATTTACTATAAATTCATAAATACAGATAATATAAAGTCATAAATACAGTTGCGATTTTATATTTGTAATTGTAATCTTTTTTTATTCTTTAAAAAAAATGCTTAATGTTCAACATTTATTATTTTTTTATATACACATTTTTCCAGAATGAACATAATATTTTTTCTTGGATGCTAGAGTTTTTTTTTTCTTAGATGTGTGGAAGAGCTTAAAGCCCCCCTGGTGTTAAGTGGTTACTGGAGCCCGTAGACATCTACAACGTAAATGCGCCACACATCTTGAGATACAGTTCTAAGTTCTCAGTATAGTCACAACGGCTGCCTCACCCTTCTAACGCATTACTGCTTCACGGCAGAAAAAGGCAGGGCGGTGGTACCTACCCGTGCAGTCTCACAAGAGGTCCTACCACCAGTAAAGTTCCAGATTTTACAGGAAACGGAAATGAGCAAACATAATACAGATACTAATAGACTTTTTTTTATTTTATTTTTATTGCCTTTGTAGGCAGACGGGCATACGGCCCACCTGATGGTGAGTGGTTACCGTCGCCCATGGACTTCAGCAATGCCAGGGGCAGAGCCAAGCCGCTGCCTACCGCTTAATACTCTCCATAAGCCTCGTTTGAAGAAGGACATGTCATAGCGCTCGGGAAACACTCGGGAAGACATTGGTTGGTACAGATATATAACGTTATTAATCTATCAATATCATTTGACTGGTAGGGTATTTGTGAGCCGGCATGGGTGGATTCCACTACCCTGCCTGCTTCTGCCGTCAAGCAGTAATGCGTTTTTAATGCGTAATGCTTTTCTTTCTTCTTCGTTAAATTTTTTGAAGTCGGTTTTATTTTTCTTTCGCGAGAAGTATACAATAAACAATTCGGCGTTAAGTCCACAGATATTTGACGTACTCTTCTAAAAGTCGTACCCTGTCATTGGGGGGTCATTGATTTCCTTTTAGTTACTGTCCAAGTGGGTTCCCTACCCAGGGATAAGTTCGAGGACACGACGTGCAAGATTCCATCCAGTAGTCGAGCTGGAAGATACAAGTTTAATTGATGGAAAATTCTCAGCTATAAGTCATAGCTTGCAGTAGGCAGCGGATTAGACTGTACCCTTGAAATTGTTACTCACGAAGGTGCTCCATCAATCAAATGCGCCGTACCATCTATGTCTGTACCTGCGTCTATCGACACTGTCATTAAAAAAGGACAATGTAATCGAGAATTTTTGTGTAAGCAGCGGAGCGGTGATGCCCATGGCTGGGTTAACATTTCGAAGGATATCATAGTTAGTATTTGAATGCAAGACTTAGCTGTGACGCGACAATATAATATTTATCCTATGATGTCTATGAATGCTGGTAACCGCTCAATGTTTTTCCGTATCTAATCGATGCTAGCCCAAGTATTCCAACTACGCACGGACGGGTGTGAGCTCACGGGCTCCACCAAAGAGAACTTGCTAACAATAGCCCTATCAAGAGCAGTGCTCAGTGGCTATGTGCTAGGTTACACGCCGAACTCTTCATCATATTCGACGAAGCCGGTCAGTTGCTGTACTAAGTTTTCTGTGATTAAAACTTACGTTATTATGGTCACTTCTTAAAGGTCCACATGTTAGGCTAGTGCAATTTGTTTTTTTAGTAACTTTGCATGGCTTCCGACGATATTCGTCTGTCGGTATAGGATTCTTAACCCATTCGATAACTTCAATGGAATTGACCTAAAACATAAAATGTTTAATCATTGCTATGAAAAGTGTCGCCATCTATATTTAAGGTATTTAAACGGCCAAATAATAGACAGTGAAACCCTTCAAATAGTACTAGGCTAAACGCATAGATGGCAGCAGTGTTTATCAAACAATTTCGCCTGTAAAGACATCAGGATATAACCATTAAGTTATGCTACAAATCGTCGATAGTAAAAAGTTATGCTTTTGAAAAAACATGGAAGATAATATTTTCGGAACGAAATTGTTTTGATTTGTAAAATACAAAATAGAACTTCTCTTTTTTTTTTCTTCTCTTAAGCGAAATTAACTTTTAACCTAACTCCCTAACTAGCAAACAATCTTTGTATGGAAGTTCCAACGGCGTCTCAACCAGCGTACTTTATAAATATTGGATCTTCATTTTTAGAGACTTTGTCAACAGGCAATTAGTGGCTTGTGGACAAGTGCTTACATATTATGGATTGATTGCAGATTAATAACAGAAAAAAATAATTACGGAGGAAGATGCTACATCGGTGTTTCCCAACGTGGGGTCCACTCTCAACAAGGGGGCCATTTCATACTTAAGGGGGGCAATCGCACTAAATTAATATAGAATATCTGTATTAAAATTATTTTGAATTTAAATTTTAGTTTTTTAAAATATGTTTTGAAATATTACTTACTGTGTTTTGATAACAATTTCATAGTGATTTCTTCCTAAAACCTATCATTTATGTTTCTTAAGTGAACAAATAAAATTTTTATTGTAAAAATTATACGGGCCCCATAAAAATTTTAGACACATGTTACAGTGGGGCATGGCACTAAAAGGTTGGGAAACACTGTGCTACATTCTTCTTATGTTTGAAAAGTTGTCTTTCTGTATTGGAATGTACCATCTCATCTATAATGAATGACCACTTAATGTACATATTATATATATATTAGGATAGATTCTAATGTTCTTTGCTCTAGGTGTGCGAAAAATCGCGGAAAATAATTTTGCAGAAATTACTTTAGTTTTTAAATGTCTTACCATGAAAACATCATTTAAGCTATTGATTAGATCCATAAATCTGGCTAAAGCTCTTTTCACTGCTGGATTGAATCTTAAGTACCATTCATGAATGTAGAAGCCAAATGGAGCTCTGTTCCCGTGGTAGTGTCTTTCAAAGTTAATCAAGATGAAATCAAACCATTCGTCCTCATTGTCTAATTTTGGCCTGGAATAAATGAGAAACTTACTACTCAATCTTGTTTATTTTTTTCTTACAAAACCGAGATTACAATACTTAAGTCAAAGTCTACAGAGTATAAAATACGTGAGTTCTGACTGTTGGTAGGGCGTCTTAAATGCCCGCAAGATTAGGTACTACCTCCCTCCTTATTTCTCCCTAAGGCAGGAATGCGTTTTGTTTTTGAAGGCTGGGGTAGCTGTACTTTAAAAACGGAGACTTAGAACTCAGGTCTCAAGGTGGGTGGCGGCACTTAAGTTGTAGATGTCTAACGGCTTCGGTAACCACTTAGGACCGTAGGCTATGAGGTCGCCCACCCACCTTAGCAAAGTAACATGTGAATATTTCGCTAAATATGTAGATTGGACTACCAATTGGATTGCCGACACGGAGTCTGTAATACTATAACAGATCTACATCTTAAATAAGACGATGAGATGACACTACTAACACGGATCATGGGGAAGTAGGTAGTATAGTGAACTGGTATTGCCATTGGTTCCATTAATCAAGAAATTACATAAATTGTTTATTGAATTTTCTTATGATTTTCAACAGGCGTTGATAATGAGGAGGTGGTCAATTCGATTGTATTTGTTTCAAGTGTGATACGTCAAAATAATTTCGAGGAAAACCGATTTTGACGTGGCACCGTGGCATCTATTTTGTGTAACATTTCACATTTAAAATATATAATACTCACACAAAAAAACAACTATCAACCATCGGACAAGGGATACCATTTTGATCCAACCAGCTGATCATAGGCATTACCCAGGGTCCCGGAATAGAAGCGGTTGGGCAGGGAGGTATCACACATTCTTGAGTTGAAGCGTAATGAAGAGTGTACGGCCATAGACCAGGACTCAGAGAAGTCACTGTAGGCCAAGTAGCATCGTAGATAATTCTGAAATCGGCCATAACTTGAAAACTGGAATTCCCTGTCATTTGCAGGAATGGCATACGTACTCCTGAAATAATTGGATAGAATATTAGTTTACCGGTAATTTAAACTAAATGGAAATAATGCAACTTGAGGCTTTCTAACTACAAAAGTAATCTGAGACTCATGTAATCAGAATTTTACTTTTGCCAAAGTCGAATTCCTTGTAGTATAATTATCCTGTCCTGGTAAACCCAGAGAGGCCCCCGGGCCACCCGTTATTCCTCATTCATAAAAAAGTATATTATCATATTAGATAACAGAAATCGATTTGGACATCTTCAATCGAACACCTAGATTTATTACGTAGGCTTAGAAGGTAGATTTTAACACACCTTTCATTTCATCATATGGTATGTTAGCAAAATGGCCCATCAAGACTCTTTGGTCTACCAGCTCTTGGACCATAGTATCATAAGTGGCTTCAGCCCAGTAAGTCTGTGGAGTTCTATGGCTGATAGTGTGTAAGGCGATTTCAAAGCCTTCGTTGTACAATTCATTGACCGCATTGTAGTTTGTGTATTCATGGTTGATGTAGAACGTGGCACCCGCTTTGCAGCCGTTTTTGTTGTGACGGTTATAGAGAATTTCTCGGTACGTAACCATATTCATTGCGTTAATGGCATCGTCGAATGTTATCGTGAAGAACTGAAAAATATTGGAACAGTACAATTCGAGAGATATTAAAGACTAGCTTTTAGCGACTCCGTCCGCATGTAATAGTCACTTTGGCATAACGCTAAATTTTATCCCCCACTTCATTTAGGTAGAAAGTGAAAATATTTTTGAATTATAGAATGTTAAGGAAGCTATTTAAACCCCTATTTTGAAACATTCTTTATTGGGCTCCACTTGTATTGGTCTTACTGTCATGTTATATATAGCCTATAGGCTTCATCAATAAATGGGCTATCTAACACTGAAATAATTTTTCAAATCGGACCAGTAGTTCCCGAGATTAGCACGTTCAAACAAACAAACTCTTCCGCTTCATAATATTAGTATAGATTGTGGAACGTATTTAAATGGAGTCCATTTTGAACCTAATGTAATCTTCAAAACTAGACTGCATGTCTCACCTGTGGAGTTTCCTTAGCTGCCAGTCCTCCAGGTATACTGGTTGAGGAGCAACGGCATTCAGGTAGTTCACATTTCTCTGCCTCACAAGGCAAAGCCAACGGCAAATCCCCTGTCACCACATTTACTACAATGACTAAAAATAACAATAAAATCTTCATAGTCAATTATTTTGTATACTGAATCAGTTTTCAATGATTTCAAATATTTATTTTGAAATGTTATCACTTGTTAAAATCCTTTTCTGGGTCGAATTTTGATATCGGTAACCTAAAAAAAGAAGTAAGCAGTAATCAAAAATAACTAGGAGATCGAGTTAATAATTAATTAATATCAACTTTTTTATTCCGATAACAGTGGTCAGTATATTACGTACAAAGTGTATTGTCATATCGTTGCTTGAGGCGTCTTCAATTTTTTAATTAATAGGACGTCTCAAACTCTTTTTTTGTTGCCTTTGTAGACAGACGAGCGTACGGCCCACCTGATGGTAAGTGGTTACCGTCGCTCATGGACGTCAGCAATGCCGGGGGCAGAGCCAAGACGCTACCAACCATTAACTGCCATTAAGTACTCTCCGCAAGCCTCGTTTGAAGAAAGACATGTCATAGCGCTCGGGAAACACCGTGGATGGGAGATCATTCCAAAGCCGGATGGTACGTGGCAGAAAAGATATTTGTGATTGATTGATTGATATAAGCATATAAGTGTTATAAGCATTTCACTGAATTATTTTTGGTCTATATTATAAATTTATATAAGCGGTCTTACAGTCTCACTCCTATGCGAGCGAGGTGTTCATTCAGGCAACTTTCACCTGCAAACTTCCTCCAAATTACGTAGGCTCACTTTTGTAGGAAAGCTCGTGTTAAGTATTATATAAGGAATAAATATTGAATCCAAGACGATCTTAATTCTTATCAAATGTAATGAAATTAAAATTAAAGACAATTTTTATAAATACAAATAAAAATCATATCCGTAAAATTAAAAAAATGTATAATTAATAATAATTACTAGTTACATAAATACTAACCACGCGAGGTTTGTACAGATGCGTATATTTAAGACGATTTAAGTATTTTCAAAAATTTAATGAAACTTTTTTAAAGATTACATCTATACAAATAAATAAAATTGGAGTGTCTGTTTGTAGTAATAAAATAACAAGTTTTTACTAAATGCGTAAGTTTGTCTGTCTGTTTGTTGGTTCCGGCTAATGTCTGGAACGGCTGGACTGATTTTGACGGGACTTCCACTGATAGGTAGCTGATGATATAAGGAGTAACTTAGGCTTAGTAACTTTTTTAGACTAGCTTCTCTCCGCAGCGTCACCCGCGGTACCACAATAGCCGCGGGTAACATCGCGGGACTCTAGTCTTGTAATAAGACTTCGCGTTGTACAACTAATAGGCTCCGGTAATACAGCCCACTGATTTACTCTCCAGATCTTCTCAGTGGGTCGAATTTCCGATCCGGTGGTAGATTCTGCGAAGCACTGCTCTTGCTAGGGCTAGTTTTAGCAACATAGTCAGATTGGAGCCCCGTGAGCTCACCTACTCGCTCTGTGAATCTATAACCCCTTGAGGTTACTAGAATAGGTAGAAAAAAAACCGGTAACCGCTGATCACCAAGTCTGCTTAATGCGAGTTTGTTAACGTTCTCGACAGCGTAAAAGTTAACTCAAATTTGTATGTAGTTGGAACAGCGCTCCTAGAGGCAAACGTATGCAAACGCTCCATACAAATATGAGTTAACTTTTACGCTATCGAGAACGTTAAATAACTCTGACTAAGCACACATGTGGATCGTGTGGTCGTTTATACGTCACCGCAATAAAAAAAACCCAATCAAATTATATTTTATCGTATTGTTAAGTAGGAAGGCAAATCATTTACATTCAATCTCAATATAATCTAAAACCAGTATATAAACACGCTTAAGAACCGATTTAAACTTAAACAGTCATTATCAAGCTCATTATAAGGACTACTTTCGTCGGAGCTGTCAATATTGATTTATTATCAATTTCCTTTTAAAGGAGCCGAGCGATATCAATCAATAAAATCAGGTATTAATCGTTCTGTTGAATTGCTTTTAAGTCGGAATAACATAGATAACACAAAATTTTATATCAGTTACAAATCAATATTTTCCTAGTAACCTTATTTAAGTTGTATCCATGTTAAGGTACCATTTAATTAAACAATATTTCATTCATTTTATTAGAACCCACCCAAACAATCACTAAAATGTCTTCCTTGATATTTATTTTAAAGCATAGAATGTAATTCTTAACTACCATATCATAGATTACTTTTCGTAATACGTGTTTTGTATTTTGAATTAGTTTTTTTAGTCTATTTTTTAACCAAATTAAAAAAAAAAGGAGGTTAACAATTCGATCGGTTTTTTGTGTGACTCCGTGGCGAACCGATCGTAACGAGGTTAAATGAAAAAAAGTCCTGTATCCAATATTGAAAAAAAATATCTTGAAATCTTTATGAAGGACGTACACAGGTTGGTACCGCTCTCCTATTTATTTCTGGATCAAAATAGTGCTGGGCTCGGAGGTGTAGCTGTTTTATTAAGTCACCTTACTAAAATCGTGTAACCATAAGATAGTTAAAGATAGAAGAAAGTTAAAGATAAAAATATCAGCCCCTAAGTACCTACCAAGAACGAAGAAATATAAACCGTTTATAAGAAAGCCCGATCGTTCGAATTTAGGTGCTTACTCTCCCTTAAACAGAATCCTTTGGGACTACAATAATGTCCACGGTAGCGCGGTCTCCGTCAATGTTCCTTCGGAGTTGTCCGATTGCGCTGAACTTATTTTAAGTGAAATAGATGTTTTTTCAAATTGTCTCACTACTTACAGGAAAAATCTGTCGCGGATCATTTCCCAATTAAATTAATCTTAAGCAATGAATGAAATGTATCCAAATCTTAGCTGTATATTTTATTTTTATTTTTGATGTTAATGCAATGTCGATTGCATCTATAATTGAGGTGACATCTGCCATGAACTTTTGTCAATTTGTCAATGTTTTGTATTGATGATCACTTTGTTGGTGCAACTTATTAAATAAATAAATAAATAAATAAATAAATAGTTTACTGGTGGTAGGACATCTTGTGAGTCCGCACGGGTAGGTATCACCGCCCTGCCTATTTCTGCCGTGAAGCAGTAATGCGTTTCGGTTTGAAGGGTGGGGCAGCCGTTGTAACTATACTTGAGACCTTAGAACTTATATCTCAAGGTGGGTGGCGCATTTACTTTGTCGATGTCTATGGGCTCCAATAACCACTTAACATCAGGTGGCCTGTGAGTTCGTCCTGTTCGTTAGTCTCGCTAAAACTCGAGAACGGCTGGACTGATTTGGCTAATTTTTGTCTTGAATTATTTGTGGAAGTCCAGAGAAGGTTTAAAAGGTAGATAAATATGAAAATGCTCTAAATTAAATAACAATTTTGTTTTCCCTTTGATGTGTCCCCTGTCGGACGGATTCCTTTTGTTTGTTTTAAGTTTCTTTTATACAAAAGTGTAAGTTTTTTATTTATCGATTGAGGCACTACGAAGTCTGCCGGGTCAGCTAGTAAGTAATATATTTAAAGTTAATTTAGTAACTTATTATAAATTATTTTTATTCAGAATCTGAATGTAAATACAGTCAAAACCGTTTACTGCGACATCGGTTAGAACAACATGCCGGTTATAATAACCTAGAACAAAGGTCCCGGCTGAATGCTATATGACCGCCTTATTAAAAACATTGCTTTATACGACATTGCTTATAACGACATACCGCATAAAACGACCACATTTAACTAATGTTTCGGAGAATTAGATCTGTTAGAACGACCGGCTAAGCTGTATTGTAAAGAATTTGAATAGGTATCCACATTTGTCTTCAATGACTATTAAAATCGGGAAAGAAAACAATAGAATCTAGTTTAGTGTAGGGTCTTTTCTAATTCTTAGAAACAAAACACGTGCATGCAGTAGAGTCAAAGCCCGCTTCTTCATATCTCTTCAGTTAGTTTGTTACGTATCTATACACAAGACGCACCAAAACTTTATGGAGTTATTCGTGAATCTTTCAAAATGTCGCAAAGTAAAAGAAAACAAATTAATATTGAAGAAAAATCGCGTATTATATTCAAGCTAGAGAACGGAATTAGCAAAGAAATATGGTGTATCACACTCGACATATTTCAACCATTTGGAAAGAGCAAGAAAAAATCCAAACGCTTTATGACAATAATTTTACAGAAAAATAATATGCATTGTACTTATGTGTAATAAACAAAATGTCATTGTAGTTGAATAAATATATTTTCAATAATTCCCTATCGATTTGTTTGTACTTGCACAATACACATTAAACATCACCGGTTGTTACGACTATCGGTTTTTACGACTGAATTTGAGCAGTCCCTTCGATGTCGTTATAACAGATTTTGACTGTATATCGAAACGTCCATCAATAAAAATACGTTCTTCATTTAGTACATAATTGAAACCATAAAACTAATTTTATTGTTTATTTATTTTAATTAAGTCCAAATGGATTGCCGACCCACGGATATTTAGCCGGACATCTATTGCAGAGCTGCAGCCAGTAGGATAACTGAAAAATTAAAGTTAGAAACAACAGATTTATTATCAAACTTCCAAATGTGACGTTGCAAGAATTAAAGAGACATCTCCGAAGCGGGAATGAACTAAAATCACAAAATAAATTAAATTAAATGGAACCATTGTGTTAGAGGTAGTAGTACAACCAATGTAACTTGATCCCAACTCTTTCCTTGGCTGTAATAGATGGGTTGTAGGGCCGAATATATCAGAAAGGTGAGCTGATACAAAATTCGAAAAGGGCAAAAGGACCTGGGTAGAGCTGATGAAGCCAGATATTGACAGCTCTCCCTATTGGAGGCGATGCGGCGACACGACCTACGCCTATTTCAATTAGCCTCTACGACAAGCAAAGTCGTCGTGGCCTAAAGGATAAAACGTCCGGTGCATTCGTATGTAGCGATGCACCGATGTTGGAATCCCGCAAGAGGGTACCGATTTTTCCAATGAAATACGTACTTAACAAATGTTCACGATCGGCTTCTACGGTGAAGGAATATCATCGTGTAATAAAAATCAAACCCGCAAATTTATAATTTGCGTAATTACTGGTGGTAGAACCTCATGTGAGTCCGCACGGGTAGGTACCACCACCCTGCCTATTTCTGCCGTGAAGCAGTAATCAGTTTCGGCTTGAAGCCATCTTAAAGTCGGAGTTCGGCTTGAAGTCTATGGGCTCCAGTAACCACTTAACATCAGGTTGGCTGTGAGCTCGTCCACCCGTCTAAGCAATAAAAAAAAACGAATGATGGAACCATAATAAAATTTACCTGATTATGTTCAGCTACCAAAGGTCCGCAAGAAGAAGCTGGGCACGCAGTCTGCCTGAAGGTCTTGCAAGTTCTTGATCTGTACTCAGCAATGGGGATGGGGTTCCTCACCCACTCTACGACATCGCTAGATGATACCTAAAACAGTTATGTTGGTAGTTATTATAATCGATTAGATATGACGTTCACAACTTAATCTATTATTTATTAAATATATTATTGTTTACATTTAGTATACGGCGTGTCTCAACCGAAAGCTTTGGTAAGTCATTTGTTGGGTGGCGCAACTTGAAAATTGTTATAGTCATGTTCGGTTTTAGAAATTCAGTTTTTTTGTTCTAATGAGTTTCGAAGTGAGGGTTAAAATCACCCAATTTTATTATTATGGAATTGAAGTAGAATGGGTGTACACGTTATGCATCAGCAAGCAAGCTGGTCTCCACAAATATGTCATAAGAACGTCAACTTGTGTAGAGCATTAAGGGGTGGGCAGCGGCTAGGCTCTGCCCCTGGCGTTGCTGAAGTCCATGGGCGACGGTAACCACTCACCATCAGGTGGGGCCGTGCGCTCATCTACCTACAAGGACAATAAAAAAAAACCCGTCCTGCCTCAAAGGGCCAAAAAGCTTACCGGATATGCAGTTACTCTTATCACGACAATCATTCTTGGCATTAAATAAATAAATAAATAAATAAATATTTACTAACAATCACGCCACGTTAACTGGTCCCGTGATAAGTTCGTAAAGAACTTGTGTTACAGGTACCAGATAACGGATATAAATATAAGATTTTTTATTATACACATACATATATTTAATATACATCCATAACCCTGGAAAAGACATTTATATTTATCATACAAATATCTTCTCTTAGCGGGATTCGAACCCGCGACCCCCTTGTGTAGTGACCATGTCACTTACCACTGCACCAGACGGCCGTTACAATCATACAATCATAAAGTCGATATCGAGGCTTATAAGCTTCGAATTGGCTATTTGGATACGTGATTCTAATGTCTAGGCTTTTGAATTAACATTTCTTCAGAAAGAACTCAAAAGATTGAGATCTCGAAGGTCGTGATTTTGTCCAATTATCTAATGACACAAAAACTAAACCTATATATCTATATATCTGTCAAATATATAAAAATAAAAACACACAAATATCTCTTTTTTATACAAGCTAAATCTAATGAATCTTAAATAAGTCTCAGCTATCGTAAGTCAAAGTAAAAATTATCACATATTTTTGCCCTAGTGATCATCATTATAATTGAATCATAATATTTATGACAATTTCAAGTTTTGAAGTTGGTGAAAGTTATGTTGAAAGATTTCATAATACAAATATATACAGGTCATATCTAAATATTAATACGTGAAGCAAAAACTTTGTATCCCTTTTTACGAAAATTGCGCGGACGGAGGAGTATGAAATTTTCCACACTTATAGAGAATATAGAGAAGAAGTGCACAATGCTAATATTTTTTTAAAATAATGCATAAAAGATACAATAAATCAATAAAAAAAACATTACACACACCACATACCATGTATTTGACGCACACACGCATGCATACTATTTATTGTCAAACTTTTGTTCTTGACGTCTGTGGTCAAATTGAGAATAGATTAAATATTGTTTGTATTTATTAATATTCTTTATAGTGTAGCTTTGGCGAAATTTGTGATTTTAGAAGTATAAAGTCCAATCATAATAGTGTACAAACTTACAATTCCAATTAATTATAGTCGAATTTCGACTACTGCGGGACCTCTAGTAATAATAAAATCGTGTTCAACTGGAATGATGGGAAGGTTAGTAGAAAGATCTTTTTGTAGGCTAGAATTCATGAATCTTCTTATTCATAACGGGACCAATAGCATAACAATGAAAATAATTATCCGGCTTAAAAATAGGTCTAAATACTTGCCATGAAGACATCAGGAAGGGTGTTGATCATATCCATGAATCTGACCAGAGCTGTCTTGATTGCAGGGTAAGAGGAAATGTACCACTCGTGGACGAAGAAGCCGAAAGGCGCTCTGTTAGCGAGGTAGTGCCTTTCAAAGTTGGTCACGATGAATCTGAACCAGGCATCAGGATCTTCACGGTCAGGGCTAAAATGATGAAATTATGTACAATATTTTCATCGCATTTCTTATTTTTGTGTATATGCTGAAGTGTTTCATTGGCTCTGTAGTAGTCAAGCTAAGTCATTTCTAGAGCTGTAACAACTTAAATGTCAATACTCAGATTGATAATGTATGTACAATTATATCAATAAAAACTAATTTATCTATACTAATATTATAATACCGAACAGTTTGTTTGTTTGTACGCGCTAATCTCAGGAAAGATTTGAAAAATTCTTTCAGTGTTAGATAGCCCATTTATTGAGGAAGGCTATAGGCGATATAACATCACGCTAAGACCAATACAAGTGGAGCACCAATAAAGAAGGTTTCAAAATAGGGGTTTAAATAGCTCCTTGACATTCTATGATTCAGAAATATCTTCACTTCTACGTAAATGAAGTGGGGGTAAAATTTTGCGTTTTGCCAAAGTAACTATTCCACGCGGATGGAGTCGCGGGCAAAAGCTAGTACCTATATATACATATTATGTATGTTTGTACACTAACTAGGATTTTTCTTTGTAGTGTCATATATGAAAGCTTCCGCTTCCAAATGTAACGTATCTTGATTGTTAAAAAAAAAAGACATTGCAAGTCGTTAACTTACAAAGATGTGCAAGCGTCAACCATTACACAAGGGAACCCATTAGGATCAGTCCACGCGATCATCGGGACGACCCATGAACCAGGCAGCGAAGCAGTTGGGCACGGTGGAATAGTGCAGTCTTGAGTCGAAGCGTAGTCCAAGGTATATGGCCAGAGACCACGCTGGGTCTGGGCAGAGGCTGGCCAGGTACAGTCGTAGGTTAGGCCGAAGTCAGACATGACTTGGAAACTAGTGTTGCCGTTCATTTGAAGAAATGGAAGACGGACTCCTAGAGGTCATGAAAAACATAATTAATCTAAGCAATAAAAAAAAATATCTAAGACACTTAGACTACCTATATGTATGTTTTGAAGTCGTCGTTGCCTAAAGGATAAGACGTCCGGTGCATTCGTATCTAGCGATGCACCGGTGTTCGAATCCCGCAGGCGGGTACCAATTTTTATAATGAAATATGTACTTAACAAATGTTCACGGCTGACTTCCACGGTGAAGGAATAACATCGTGTAATAAAAATCAAACCTGCCAAATTATAATTTGCGTAATTACTGATGGTATTTATAGTCCGCACGGGTAGGTACCACCGCCCTACCTATTTCTGCCGAGAAGCAGTAATGCGTTTTGGTTTGAACGGTGGAGCATCCGTTGTAACTATACTTGAGACCTTAGAACTTATATCTCAAGGTGGGTGGCGCATTTACGTTGTGGGCTCCAGTAACCACTTAGCACCAGGTGGGCTGTTAGCTCATCCATCCATCTAAGCAATAAAAAAACTGGAAACCTTAACACGTAAGGATTATATTGCGGGCACTTTACATATTCTGGCTCCATAAATTACTATTTAGACTCCTATCAGAAGATGATATAGATGATGATGAAGAAGATATACTGGATCTTTTTGTAGCAATATTATTCAAATTTCAGATTTCTCGTTTAACTTTAATCATTCTTAATATTATACCTTTAACTTCTTCAAACGGAATGTTCGCGAAGTGAGCGATCTGTACTTTTTGATCGGCGATTTCCTCTTTGATCTCATCGTATGTAGCTGCTGCCCAGAATGACGGAGGAGTTCGGTGGGAGATTGAGTGGAGAGCGATCTCGTGGCCTCTGTTGTATAGCTCGTTGACCAGTTGGTAGTTGGTGTACTCGTGGCTGACGTAGAAGGTAGCGCGTACCGGGCAATTGTTGGAGTTGACGCGGTTGTAGAGAACCTCACGATAGGTCTCGACGTTGATAACGTTAACGCCGTCGTCAAACGTCAAAGTGACGAACTGGAATTAAAAATCAATAAAAAATTAACATTTTGTGATGTGATGAAAGTGATAAAAGGCGATTGCATGCAGCAGAGATGCGAATGTTGCGATGGATGTGTGGAGTAACGAGAATGGATAGAATACGGAATGAATATGTTAGAGGAAGTCTGAAAGTGGCACCTGTGACAGAGAAGCTGAGAAGTGCGCGTTTGGGATGGTATGGACATGTGATGAGATGAGATGAAAATGAGGTTGGTAAGAAAATGTTAGCTATGAATGTGGAAGGATATAGAGGAAGAGGTAGACCTAAGAAGAAATGGATGGATTGGGTGAAAGACGATATAGGTAAGAGGGGAGTGAGCGAAGAAATGGTATATGATAGAAGAGTATGGAAGGAGAAAACATGTTGCGCTGACCCCAGGTAACTGGGAGAAGGGCAGGATAATGATGATGATGAAGAATTAGCATTTTGTACGACAGACAATGCGGCGTTTAGGTAGTGACGCAAATTTGATTTTTAGACGTAAGCTGAACTGGAATCTAATAGTTGTAGAATACTCGAGAGTAAATCTTTACGACACCACACATTACAATATCACATCAGTATCAGTTATAATACTTTGAATGTTTTGATGGAACAATGCAAAAAATATTGGAATGCCATATAAACAAATAAATAATTGAAGACATGAGTGGATGAAGGGGATATGATGTAATATGTTGATTTTGAGAAAACGGGCAACAAACTTTTATTACGTGTACTTTTCTTCGTACATAGCTCCTTGATTTCATGCAATTTCTAAAAATAGCGGAAACTCGGAGTTTTAAGGTCTAATGTGGCTTGTAGGCACACGACACCTTCATTAAATATAAAAGCTCCAAAATTTTTAAAATGGTACTTAACCCCTTCACTCATGTCTTCAATTATAATGGGGGGTGGTTTGATTTAGTATAGCATTATTTCATCTTTTGCCATGGGTGTCCTAAAGGCAACTTAGACCTGAGTCAGTTAGCAGCGTTCTCTAAGTATTACTCAGTATTATTCCCATTGCCAACTTGCATTGCTATGGTAGGGCTTATTGCAAGTCCGCACAGGCAGGTTCCCCATATTATCTACTTTTGACTTGAAGCTATTACTCGTGGCACTGTGAAGGCTGAAGCTATCTTCATTAAATACAACGGAGCTCTTCGACCTCATGTTGCAAGGTGTAGGCTCCAGGGTCAATTCTACACAAGCTAGTCCATGAGCTGGTTCACAAGTTTATGGAAAAAAACGCCTAAGTTTTTTTAGTCAATAAAATATAAATTGCGTAAAGTCATCGCTTTGTTTGGACAAAATGACGTCACACGTAATGCACCTGCGTTTGTGTTTGTCAAAATTTGGACGACCATTTTGAAATAAGTACGATCCAAATCCTGATTCTCGTTATAAAGATATTAAATCAGATATCACTCCTTCTGTATTTGCATCGCTCCCAAGCTCACCTGTGGCGTGTTCCTAGGTTCCAAGCCTCCCGGGATACTGGTAGACGAGCATCTGCAATCCGGGAGCTTGCACGCTTCTGGGTCACATTCCGTAGCAAGTTGCAGTTCTTTAGCCAAGACCGCCGTGAGCAGAGCTGCATAAAAGACCAGCTTCATTATCGACAATTACTATTATGCGTGCCGATTTTTATCACCTGCAGATTTTATATTATTCAGAGATACTACTGCCCTGGCCTGTTATCAGTGTCTGTGATAATCACTCATCCACTTAATGTCGATATAACTGATCAGTTCAATGATTAAAGTGCCTTGCATTTTTAGAAATAGACAGCTGCTATATGCATGGGTAATTAAAAAAATTGTAGGTTCTATTCTTTTTTTTTTTTAAGTTGACGTTCTCGGACGTAAAACATTTATAGCGTGTTGTCGTCCTAAAACATATTTTTTTTCTTAATCACTGCGTTCAACAAAAACGTTTTTTTTTGAACGCAGGGATACGTAAGACTCCCGCGGGAGTTGCTGGACTTCTACCGGGCGCGTCCGTAGGTGGCGGATAACGGGCCTCTGGGCTCTATTCCCAGGGGTATCGTCCGGTCTCTCTCGTTCTGTTACAACGAGAGAGACCGAACGACGTGGACCAAAACCAGCTCCGGGGGTTCCAAGCTCTCCTCCCCCTTCACTTGTTGAAGGGTGGTCCTCCTGGAGATGCGTGNGAGATATAGTTCTAAGTTCTCAGTATAGTCACAACGGCTGCCCCACCCTTCAAACCGAAACGCATTACTGCTTCACGGCAGAAATAGGCGGGGCGGTGGTACCTACCCGTGCGGACTCACAAGAGGTCCTACCACCAGTAATTACGCAAATTATAATTTTGCGGGTTTGATTTTTATTGCACGATGTTATTCCTTCACCGGATTCAAGGATGGTGGTTTGATTTAGCATAGCATTATTATTCCATCTTTTGCCAAAGGCGACTTAGGCATGAGTCAGGTAGCAGCGTTCTCTGAGTATTACTCAGTATTATTCCCATTGCCAACTTACATTACTAGTGTAGGGCTTATTGCAAGTCCGCACAGGCAGGTTCTGCTATCTTATCTACTTTTAACTTGAAGCAATTACTGGTGGCGCTGCGAAGGCTGAAGCAACCTTCATTAAATACAACGGAGCTCTTCGATCTCATGTTGCAAGATGTAGGCTCCAGGGTCAATTATTATTCTACACAAGCTAGTCCATGAGCTGGTTCACAAGTTTATGGAAAAAAACGCCTAAGTTTTTTTTAGTCAATAAAATATAAATTGCGTAAAGTCATCGCTTTGTTTGGACAAAATGACGTCACACGTAATGCACCTGCGTTTGTGTTTGTCACAATTTGGACGACCATTTTGAAATAAGTACGATCCAAATCCTCATTCTCGTTATAAAGATATTAAATCAGATATCACTCCTTCTGTATTTGCATCGCTCCCAAGCTCACCTGTGGCGTGTTCCTAGGTTCCAAGCCTCCCGGGATACTGGTAGACGAGCATCTGCAATCCGGGAGCTTGCACACTTCTGGGTCACATTCCGTAGCAAGTTGCAGTTCTTTAGCCAAAACCGCCGTGAGCAGAGCTGCATAAAAGACCAGCTTCATTATCGACAATTACTATTGTGCGTGCCGATTTTTATCACCTGCATATTTTATATTATTCAGAGATACTACTGCCCGGCCCTGTTATCAGTGTCTGTGATAATCACTCATCCACTTAATGTCGATATAACTGATCAGTTCAATGATTAAAGTGCCTTGCATTTTTAGAAATAGACAGCTGTTATATGCATGGGTAATTAAAAAAATTTTAGGTTCAATTTTTTTTTTGCGTTCAACAATTTGGGAATCACTGCGTTCAACAAAAACGTTTTTTTTTTGAACGCAGGGATACGTAAGACTACGGAAGTGTCCCACTTAATGATGCCCATGCACTTATGGCGGAATGCCCGAGACCCACTAGAGACAGAGATCGCGAGAGGTAGGATAGTCGACCATGATCAACACTACAATTAGATTAGATACACGGCCCAATCGCAGAGTTGTCGGCAAAAACGACTCTACGTACGGCCCATCACGCCACCTCGGCGGTGCTATGAGGACTCGTCGTTCACAGCCCTTTCCCACACCTATGCCTTTTATGTTACCTGAATGATACGTTGATTGTGGCCTGGACTACTGTGGGACGGTTTGCCTTGCCTACGGTGGCGCTTGAGAAATGCCAGACCCTGCTGTTTCACAGAACTGGAAGAAAGCCAGGGTTGTGTTGTGTGTGTACCGCGTTGTGGTACCTCAACCCAGAATTGGACGGTCGTCGGAACTTCCATGTTCACTTCGAGAAGTATTGCCCTCGGCTAATGGGCGATAGGTATCGTCGCGGATCTTTTTTTTATGATTGAAGGATTACTGGTAACCCGGAGGCCTTTCCAGTTTCACCAGGACAGGTGGGCGAGCAAAGGCTCAGCCAGGAGGGGTGAGATTTGCTAACAGCTGCCCGAGTGCGTCCGAAGGAGACCTAACAACTCAAGAGTAACAGCTTCGCGAATGAATCTACTACCGGGTCGGAATCGTGACTCGCTGAGAAGATCCGGTGAGAAACTGAGCGAACTGATGCATGGGTTAGGTTTCACGTCGCCTTTTTGTCGAGTTCGATGAGTATGGTTACCAGAGTCCCTAAGCCTGCTTCTAGTGTTAGAGCTGAGCTTATCGAAGTACTGTTCCGACGCTGACTTCATGTATTTCCGGATTGATTCGAGGCCCAGTACGTCGTGTAGGGTCACGGAGCTGCGACGGCCGCAGCGTGCGATTGCGGTCAGGGCGATCCGTGGATACCGCACCGTCCCTTTCAAAGCAGCCTGCATTCTAGCCGGGACGCTCACCGCCGATTATGCAGGGGAACGCGAATTCCGCGACAGGGGGAGCCACGTCCCAGCGGAGTACCGATTAAAGAGCGATGGCCTTAATCTCGGTTCGTTATGGAGGCGTGGTCACGTCGTTTATCGAATCCGGCCACTGGTCACCGGGTCGTCGAGGAGGTGCACCTGTTTCTCGCAACATGGGTTAATCACGAACGATGGCGTCTCACTTTCCGGTTGACGCATATGCTCACTGGCCATGGGTGCTTCGGCCGATACCTATTACCCGGAGGTAGCCGACGATGGAGCACCACCATTGTGGTTGCGATGAGGGCCGTCGTGGCTACGATGATCGGCAGTGAGGAGTCCTGGAAGGCAATGCTCGACTTCAGCAAGTCCATCATATGGGGGCTGTAGCAGTGTTTTCGACCGGCTCCAGTGTCTGTAGGAGGTGACGTCCCCCGGTGAAGATTACGTGGCCACCTGACGGCCGATGTGGAGTCATCGATTATCACTTCGACGTCTCAATGGTCGGGCGGTCTAGGGTTGACGCCGCGAGTCTGATTGTAGTGTTAACCCCGGAGACCCAACTACAATGCTCGGTTTCTTACCTCTGATGGAGATCGCATATCGGTTCAGGGATTTCAAGGGGAGTTGGGATTGAAGCTGAAAATATCCTTGGGCCCTCAGTTTGCTCCCAAGATTTGCTGACTGTTAAGCCTCACATACCCTGGGCGCTCTGGGCGTCCCCTGGGCGCGGACGCCTCGAACGAGATACGGCCCCTGTCCGAAAAATAAGTTAAAAAAACGTTAAGTATATATAAGTCACTGCAATTTCCTCGAAACGTTGATAAGATAATCGATACGTTTCATATCAATTCATAATCAGATTTACTGTTAAATTTCAAATCAAAATGAGACATAAGCATTGTCGCGAACGATAAACTGATTATTATATAAATTGGAGATTATTGATCATAAAGTAAGTAGACTAAGTTTTGGTGTACATTTTTTGGGATGTTGCCAAACCTCTGACCGGTCCGTAGACGCTGGGAGTGGATCGCGGGCCCAAGGGTGATATTTAGGGCCCTAACCACTAAATGACTCCACTGCACATTCGCCCAAGCATCCGATTCCCCTGAGGTCAGAACCCGGGCGACATAAGGACGATATCGCAGTCAACATTGAAACCAGACGCGCGGCCGATTCCTAGGGCACCCAGCCTACGGATTCTTCTAGGCGAAGCGGAGGCTCTGAATCGCCGGCCGTCTCGGTACAATAGCCAGTCCAGCCCCCCAGGCGGTACCGTGGGTATCGTGTGATACCCGTTAAGCCAGATCCCGCCTGCCGGGTAGGGACGAGATACACCACCAATCGGTCGCTCTTTTCATGTTGTTGTTACTCTGTGGCGGCGCGCTAAAATTGTGATGTACTTCTAAATTGTTTTTATTGCATACGAACTTTCAACCTAATTGGTGTTAAATGATGATACTATACTGTACTGTGTTGTAGCTTGGAAAAACACATAGCGCGTTGCCTGTAAATTGTTGTAAAGTTGAAAAACAAAACTGTGAAGAATTATTTATTAACTACTAGCTGACCCGACAGACTTTGTAGTGCCTCAATCGATAAATAAAAGACCTAAACTTTTGTATAAATTAAACTTAAAACAAACAAAAGGAATCCGTCCGACGGGGGCACATCAAGGAAAAACAAAATTGTTATTTTTATTTAATTCCGAGCATTTTCATATTTGTCTACCTTTTACACCTTCTCTGGACTTCCACAAATAATTCAAGACCGAAATTAGCCAAATCAGTTCAGCCGTACTCGAGTTTTAGCGAGACTAACGAACAGCAATTCATTTTTATTTATATAGATTTATAAACTGGTACAATCGTGCCATGCTCGATCAAGATCAATGAAAGGATCTTTACTCTTCGAAAAATATAGTTAAATATAGAAAAATGTAGTATCCTTTTTTTATAGTAAAATATGTTGATATTAATATGTGTTATAAAATATTTTGATTTTAATGTGTGCTACCAATTTTTGTGATCATGGACAACTACAGTGTTATTTTGTTTTAACTACCCTAAAAATCTATAAAAATAATTTCGACTTTTTCGTTTCTTTGCACACAGAAATAACTTATTTGAACAATATTTTGAAGTCTCTAGGTTTGTTTGACTTCGGGCTGGCGAAAACCAAAGGAAATGCCAAAAACATTTAATATCATTGGGCTCTAAGCAATAATATAAAGTATACTAAAGTTAAAATGTTTAGATTTGTAGTAGCAAAAGACATGCATGCTTAATTGCCCAGATAAGCTTGCAGTCTTCTTGAAAAAAGGGCCTACCTCCGCTTAGGGGCATCGGAAATGTCAGTGGAAAAACCGTGTCTAGATTTGAGAATAGTATTGAAGTTCCAAAATAACCAGAAATTAACGCTCGGGGAATTTCCCTAGAGTTAATTCATCCGACTGTTAAAACGATCAAAAAAGAAATGATCTCTGAAAACGCATGGAAGCTAAAAAGCTTGATAAAAAGGTAAGTATGTTCTGGGTACAGTTTTGAGTACGTGCGAGGAAGCTTTCGTGTAGACATCGCCGACAAGAGATGTAGTAGAGCAGGTAGAGATTGTATGGTTACGTAAAAAGGAGGTCACCAGACTAAGTCGGAAATTCTTCCCTTGGTCAGAGACCTAAAAGAAAACTCAAGGCAAGGTGGAAAGATATACTGCTGAAGGATAAGAGGGAATACAATGTTGCTAAAGAGAATATCGAATGGAAGAGAAAAATAAGGAAAGCTGACCCCAACACAATGTGAGATAAAAATCTAGGAAGAGAGAGAGAGAGGTTCTGGGTACAGGTCATAGATTAAAGCCCAGGTCATCATCCTATACGTGGTAGCTCTACAATCAGAAGCTAACAACTCAAATTTACTAATGTGGATCGTTTAAGAGTTGTTTGGTACACGTCCTTACGGATCCATCAGATCCAATAACTCTTGCATTAGATATCTTCGGCTCTAACACTATGAGCAGGCTTAGGGATCACGGTAACCATACTCGTCAAACTGGGCAAAGAGTTCGACGTGCAACCTAACCCATGCATCAGCCCGCTGAGTTTCTCGCCGGATCTTCTCAGCGGGTCGCGATTCCGATTCGGTAGTAGATTCATTCGCGAAGCAGCTACTCTTGAGTTGTTAGGTCTTTTCGGAAGCGCTCGGGTAGCTGTTAGCAAATCCCACCCTTCCTGGCTGAGCCTTGCTCGCCCACCTGTCCTGGTGAAGCTGGAAAGGCCTCTGGGCCACCAGTAATACTTCAATCATAAAAAAAAAGTTGTTTGGAAGGTGGAATAACCACTGTACAAGGCTATAGAGACTCCCACCTTGTAACTCAAGGTGAGTGTTCTTATTTTCATTTAAATGGGTCAAGAACTGCTTTCTCTTTTAGCTAAAGAAAGTAATCATCAAATAAATCCAAATATCGTCTAGTTGTCGTGGCCCAAAGGATAAGGTAAGTAACCAATTTTTCTAATGAAATATGTATGTATGAGTATGTACGTAGGTACTTAACAAATGCTCACGATTGACTACCACGGTGAAGGAATAAGCATCGTGTAATAAAAAATTAGCGTTATTACGCGTGGTAGGAAGTCTTGTGAGTCCGCACGGGTAGGTATCACCACCCTGCCTATTTCTGCCGTGAAGCAGTAATGCGTTTCGGTTTGAAGGGTGGGGTAGCCGTTGTAACTATACTGAGACCTTAGAACTTATATCTCAAGGTGTGTAGCGCATTTACGTTGTAGATGTCTATGGGCTCAAGTAACCACTTAACACCAGGTGGGCTGTGAGCTCGTCCACACATCTAAGAAATAAAAAATAAATAAAAAAATTACTGGTGGTAGGACGTCTTGCGGGTCCGCAGGGGTAGGTAGGTACCAACACCCTGCATTTTTGTGCCGTATAACTCATATTTCAAGGTGGATGGCAGCATTTATATTATAGATGTCTATAGGGCCCGGTAACCACTTAACACCAGGTGGGCCGTGAGCTCGTCCACCCTAAGCAATAAAAACAATGGTGAGAATCAAACACAAATTTGTTTTAAATTTTTTATTTCCTTAAGTGAATTAAGCTTATTACTGTCCAAGGGGATTTCCTACCCAGGGGTAATTCCTGGGACACGTGTTGCAAATCGTCATGTAGTAAGACAGCTGTAACAGAGAATATAAATTATTATTGGTACCATTTTATTTGATCCCGTGATTTGAGATCTAACGTGTCAAGTTGGACTGGATAGGTTCCCGGAATTGCTTAATAGCATTCCAATTGATTTGGTGGTGCAGTGGCTAGCGCCGAAGATGGCTAGGCCAGAATCGTGGGTTCGATTCCCATTCGTATAATGTTCAGGTTTGTTTGTCCTTTGGGTTGCTTAACAACTACATGGATAACATGCAACAACATAATATGCAACATCTATACATGTATCTACAGTTGTACATATCAACGCTTGAAAGGCAAACCTGGCTAAGCGACAATAACTGCTTTGTACATAAATGATAGGCAATAGACATATTCGATGCGCAAAAAAAAAAAAAAAACTAGGTCTATTAAAATCATTTCAATCCTACAGCTACTAGCTAGATTCTACTACAGCTGGATTCGTTAAAATAAAATTTGTTTTCAGGTATTTCAACTTTAAATTAGTCTACTGTAAAGTTCACGCATTGTCGCTTAGTCACCTTTCAAGCTTCGATATGTATATTCGTTTCTGGTTTCCATAGTGCAGGGAATCCCAGTTCAGGGCTGGACGATTTTGTACCCGATTACTATGTTATATTCTGCCTTGAAACGAAATATGCGTTCAGATTTCTGTGTACCACAAAACAATGTATACCACAACACGCAGTTCACATTTGGACACAATGTTTAATTGTCTCTTTGATCTAATAATAACCTTGAATTCCTGACGGAAGACACTATATTTGTAATCTAGAATTCAATATCTCGGTGCACTTGTCGTGTGTATGTTTTCCGCGCCAGAAATACTAGAAACGTTATACATATATGATCGGATATTATTTCATCTTTCAATAAGCCCGTTGGTAGTTGTGGTAGTGGACAGACAACCAATGAGGTCGACCGAAGATCTAGCCAAAATACCTTGTAGAGACTGGATGCGAAAGGCAAGGGACAGAAAAGAATGGAGTGCATATGAAGAGACACTCAGCATTGAGTGGAAAAGAGTTGACGAAGAGAGGTCGTGAGCTCGTCCACAAATCAAAGCAATACAAATCGAGTAATAACAAGTAGACTCCCAGCTTATTCGGCCATAAGCAGTCAACGGTAATAGTAGTAGTACAAATAATATGTCTTCACTCGCCTGATTATGAGTTCCCGTTAGTGGCCCGCAGAACGATGGTCTACAAATTGATGGCATAGTAAATTTGCACTGCTGCTGACGGTATCGATCGATCGGGACAGGGTTCTTCACCCAATCGATGACCTCGGCTGAGTTCACCTAAAATAATGTATAGATTATATTAATACTGAGATTGGTGGAGAGTCTCAAGGATCAGTCGGCGTTTATTTTTTTTTATTGCCCTTGTAGGCAGACGAGCATACGGCCCACCTGATGGTCAGTGATTACCGTCGCCCATGGACTTCAGCAATGCCAGGGGCAGAGCCAAGCCGCTGCCTACTAAGTTGTCACGGGAGCCTGTAAATGTCATGACATGACGAGATGATGATAGCCTAAAGGCACCTGGGATACTCGTATCGAGCAATGTGGCTATGCCCGTGGCTTAGTCTCAGAGAAATGTGCGGATTATCCTGAAAAATACGTTCTTAAGTTTTTCAGGAATGAATTCGACGATGATGATTTTAATTTGGCTCTAATTACATCTAATTACACTCTGGCTGTATGTATCACCATATAGTAATGCGTTCCGATTTGAAGGGTAGAATATCTATTACATACAACTAAGTTTCAGCCCTCATATCTCAGGTATGACAGCATTCAGCCAAGTCTATGGCTTCCGATAACTTCTTAACACCAAGTGGACTGTAAAAGCCTTTATCTATCGATTCATGCTATACAGTTCTCAAAAAGACTTTCTCCCCATCTGGATACATAAGGTTCAAACAAGGTAACGGTATAACGGTAGTGGGAATTGAAATATGAAGAATAGCATGCGTCTTCGAAGTTAGGTGATTCCTTTTTAATTTTCACAAATGTAATAGTTTGTATTTCGTTTCTTTAAAAAAAAGACTGTGAAAGAAGATCCTATTTCACCGATTACCATGCCGTCATACCATTACAAATCACCAAAAAGTTCAGCTATATCCACCACTCACCATGAAGACATCATTTAAGTTGTTAATGATGTCCATGAATCTGACAAAAGCGCGTTTGATGGCGGGGTTTGACGAAATAAACCATTCGTGGACGAAGAATCCGAACGGGGCTCTGTTCCCGAGGTAGTGCCTCTCGAAGTTGGTCAGGATAAACTTGAACCATCCTTCCTCGTCGGTACGGTCTGGCCTAGAAATTTAGTTCCTAATGAATTCTTGATCTGGTCAATAAGGCGCATTGTGGATTTATTTTTAATGTAAAAGTTATGTACGGTAGGTTAGTACAGATGTGCCTGGTGTGGAAGAGTGCATAGACATCACAATGTGCTTGTGTCTATCAATCTTGAGACACGAGATCGAAGTTCCAATTGGATTGGCGTAAATAATATAATGTATTGTGTTAGGCTCACATTGTGATGTACATTTTTGGGAGGCTTAAGCCGCCTCACATTCACTCAAAAAAAGTACCAATAATGGATGATTTGTTTATGTAGAACCATAAGAATATAACTTTAAGAATTATGTAGTTCAATTTTTTTTTTTTTTGTCGTTGTTAGATTTACACTGTTTTCTATTTTGGCACAAAAAGGCTAGATTAGTGTAAAAGAAAATTCTTTTGGATTTTCTGTTTTTAAAAGTGTTTTGAAGATTGGCTTATTCATTGGTCAAAGTACATATATCCCTTCTGAAGGAGCATACTTTGAAGGTGATAAAATAAATTTGGATGAATAACTAACATTTTGTGAATTATTGATCTTTTTCCGTTACTTTCTTGACAGAGCAGTATGTGGGCTCTAGGAATTAAAGAGGTAATTTGCCTATTTATGTATATCGATAAAACTTACGTGAAGAAGCAACCATCCACCATGGAGCAAGGGAAATTGTTGAGATCTCTCCAGCTGATCATAGGGAGCACCCACGGTCCAGGAATCGACGCAGTTGGGCATGGAGGAATAATGCAGTCCTGAATAGATTCGTGGTGAAGAGTGTAAGGCCATAGACCTGGATTGGTTAAGGCAGTTGTGGGCCATGTGCAGTCATATAGTAAATCAAAATCTGCCATAACCTGGAAACTTGTGTTACCAGTCATCTGAAGGAAGGGGATACGCACACCTGGAAATAAATTAGTTTGATATCATCAGTTTTAGTTTAGGTATTATTTTAAATTATACCCGTAGTATCTAGGTAATCGTTGTACCAATTTAGAAGCACTAGGAACCATTTCAGATTATTTTTAATAGGTTTCACCACTATTAAAATGGATTTGCTGAAAGTTATCGAAATTGCAAGTTTTCATTGATTTGGCTTTAAATTGAGCGGAAGAAGACCACGAGGTAGAGGCCCGATACGTTGGATAGACCAGATCCGCACTACCCTCGACACCACAGTTCACGATGCTCTACACTCGGCGGCAGATAGAGGCAAATGGCGTGGAATGGTCCGTAATAAACTGTTGTTGCGAGGAGGCGGTCACGACCCTCAGTATTGAGGTAACCGAAGAAAGAAGAAGAAGAAGGCTTTAAATAATATTTATACATATTTTTTGTCGATTAACGCCATACCTTTAATAGCACTAGCGGGGATGCTAGCAAAATGCGCCATTTGTCTTTTCTGATCTCCAATTTCCTGGACCAAATTTTGATACGTGGCATCAGCCCAGAACGTCTGGGGGGTTCTGTGACTGATCGAATGTAGAGCAATCTCGAAGCCTCTATTGTAGAGTTCATTGACCAGCTGATAGTTTGTGTACTCGTGGCTGACGTAGAAGGTAGCTCCGGCTGGGCAGCGGTTCGAGTTGATGCGGCCGTAAAGGACCTCACGGTATGTCTCAATGTTAATGACATTGATACCGTCATCGAACGTTACGGTTACAAACTGCAATGTAAAAAATATAACATTGTAGACTGGCTTATAATTCATAAGGGTATATAAGCCCTTACAGACAATTACCGAAATCCTGCCTATTTATGCTGCGAACCGTTCGTGCGATTCGTTTGGAAGGATCAAACAGTCTAAAACTACATAGTTGAGGCATCGACTCCAATTCTCAATGTTCTTGGCTGTATACATAGTGTAATAATATCTACAGGCTATATATACCAGTAACCAGTAGGTCGGCCGTGAACTCATTCATGGCATTTATAGTATTCATGATATTTCTAATGATTTAAATCCTTAGCAAATGTTCACGATTGACTTGAAAGAATAGGATAGGAATTGACGGTGAAGGAATAACATCGTGTAATAAAAATCAAACTCGCAAAATTGTAATTTGCGTAATTACTGGTGGTAGGACCTCTTGTGAGTCCGCACAGGTAGGTACCACCATCCCGCCTATTTCTGCCGCGAAGCAGTAATGTGTTTCGGTTTGCAGGGTGGAGCATACTGAGACCTTAGAACTCATATCTCAAGGTGGGTGACGGCATTTACGTTGTAGCTGTCTATGGGCTTCAGTAACAAGTTCACAAAATGCTCTGTGTTCTTGGTAGAACTAAAGCTGATGGTCCAGCCTGTGTGATTTGAGCACCGATATAGTCGCATCGTTTGATACACGCAAGTGTCTTATCCCTTAGGTTACGAGGTTAATAAAAGCGCATGTCAGGAATTCGAATGCTAAATATATTTCACGAATTCTAGTCCCGACTCAAACCGGGACACTGTGGTATGTAAGCCCAGTACTCAATCGCAAACAGGTCAACTGCTTCTCAACGAGACAGTCAACGGCTACAACAAAAGCTATGTTTTAATTTTGGCTGCCCGGTGGTGCAGTGGTTAGCACTCCTAACTGTTGCGCCTAGGGTCGCAGGTTCGATTCTCGCATCGGGCAAACATTCGTGTGAAGAACAGTTTTGTTTGCCCTATATCTGGGTGTTTATTATCTATGTATTATATATATTTTTTAAAACGTATATAACTTGTATATATGGCTTTCGTAACCATAACACAGGGAATCCTAAATTAGGACCGGATTAGTGAGCTTATAAATAAAAAAAATTGGTTGTCTGTCAGGTTGTTTTACGGAACGATAGTTTTACGATTGATAACGTCATAAAGAAATATTGATGAAAAATTGCATACTTTTATGAATGGAATTGAATTAATATCACTTAATTATCATTATTTTACAACCTATGTATAGCTCACCCTCTTTAAGAACGGTTAGCTGGTAGATAACTCAATTGTTGAGTTAAGCTCGCCATTTTATTACATTTCGCAATTATTATATTGTATTAACTGTGTGTACAACGTGTACAATAAAGAATAAAGAATATTTTGTGTAATACAAAGAAGGAGTTAATTGAAGATCTCTTTTTTTTTCCGATAAGTTAACGCTTGGGCCGATCGTGCCTCTCTATCACTTGCTTCGCGTTCTCGCTTGCACACTCAGGCTCAGGCGGAACGTGACACTATTTCTTGCGTGCAACCGATGTTCATCAATTTATATGACGTCATCACGTCAAAAAACAAAGAAAACTATTTAGTTTGATAAAAACCAAACACCCATTCTAATAGCAAGCGCGACAGATACTATAAAATATAATATTTATTTTTATTCTGATTATTACTGACCCGCGTATTAGGAGAAATTGATAAAACTAGAGGTCCCGTAGTAGTCGAAATTCGACTATAATTAATTGGAATTGTAAGTTTGTACACTATTATGATTGTATTTTATACTTCTATAATCACAAATTTCGCCAAGACTACACTATAAATAATATTAACAAAGACGAACAATATTTAATCTCAATTTGATAACAGACGTCAAGAGCAAAAGTTTGACAATAAATAGTGTGCATGCGTGTGTGCGTCAAATACATGGTATGTAGTGTGTGTAATGTTTTCTTTATTGATTTAATGTATCTTTTATGCATTATTTTAAAAAAAAATTAGCATTGTGCACTTCTTCTCTATATTCTCTATAAGTGTGGAAAATTTCATACTCCTCCGTCCACGCAATTTTCGTAAAAAGGGATACAAAGTTCTTGCTTCACGTATTAATATATAGATTACTGTCCTTCAACGGTACTTGCGGTATGCGTATTTTTGAGCGTGTTTTCTTTGAATAGGACTCGTAAAATAACGTAATGGGGATTTTCACGGGATGAGCTGATATGAAACATTAAAAATTAATTAGGACCACTTATTATTAAGTAATAACGTAATGGGTATTATATACATAGAAAATTCTTATCTTATACCTTTAAACGAGCTGTTCTTGTATATATATATATATATATATATATATAATATAATCTCAATCTCGGAAACGGCTCCAACGATTTTCATAAAATTTAGTATACAGGGGATTTCGGGGGCGATAAATCGATCTAGCTACGATTTATTTTCAGAAAATGTTGTTTTATTCGTGTTTTCAATAATCAACTCTTCCCGACATCTATTGGCGAATAATAATACTATTTTTCTTAATTGAGGGCAACTAACCGCTTTGAAGACACAACAAGATGGCGTTATAAAAAAAAAACCGAGCAAGGCTCGGTCATCATCTAGTTATTATTACAGCTTGTACCAGAATAATTATTGCATAGTCCAGTCCAGAAAGAATAGCACTTCTAATGAATATAGATATAAGAATATTATACTCATGATCACGGCAGGATTGATATTCGAAAGTCTACAAGATCTACCAGACGGACACTAAATATCACTCGACTTTTTTTTTCAAAAATTATCGAGGAGGTTACTTAAAAAGGATCCTCAAACAGACCTGTGGAGTGTCTCTGGCTCGTAATCCTCCAGGAATATTAGTGGACGAGCATCTGCAGTCCGGGAGCTTACAAGCCTCTTCGTCACATGGTGTAGCCAATGGCAGCTCAGTGCCAAGAGCCGCAGCCACGAGGAGCAAAGAGCACAAAACCGACAGCCTCTTCATCGCGATATTCGGAATCTTTGATCGGATCAAAGTAAGAAACCTATTTTATATAGGTACAATTAGATTTTTATCATTTAATTTAATTTTAATCGCGTATTCACAATCATTGCGTTTTTTATCTTATCAAAGGACTACCAGTTGTGATAAATTATTTCTGTTCTGTAAACGGTCCCTAAACGGAAATTCTTTAATTTTCACTTTTATACGTCCGTTCTTATTTCGTTCACTTGCGTATTTTTTTGAATTTATACTTAATTAGGCGCGTTATGAAAAATTTATGAGAGTGAAATTTTCCGATGCGCGTGCACCGTGACACAAATTTAACAGAATGAAGTTGCCCACTAAATCGCTCATTACAATACGACCGACATAACTTGGCAAGTCTGAATGGTGAACTTTCCGAACCGTACCGAGAACTACCGAATTTATACGTTGTCAAGAAAAGGGATGTCCAATGTGTTTGAGGATGATGTTTAATCGATTATTTTTCAAATTGATTAAAATTTAAATAAAAAAAAAGAAATAAATTTAATAAAAATAAAGTATTAATTCTTACGCGCGTACATAAGTACACGCACCCTTTTTTTCCGTACCTATTCGCTGGTAGCCCTAGAATTTTCTAACACTAGCCCTAGCAAGAGCAGTGCTTAGCAGAATCTGCCACCGAATCGGAATCGTGACCCACTGTGAAGATCCCGCGAGTAACTCATTGGGCTAATGACCTGCGTATGTTTGCAGGATCAAACGATGCAATTGTTTTATTTTACTTGGATGGATTGTGTGAAAGAGGATATACGAGAGAAGGGTGTGAATGCAGAGATGACGGATGGCCTGAATGCAAAAAGAGGACATGCCACGCTGATCCCCCAGGATAAGGGCAGGGAAAATAATAAGGCGGTGCAATTGTTTAATGGGTTTCATTATCTGATCATGGAGTAATGATCCAACCATCCATCTATCCAAAAAACAGCTGCCTACCGCTTAATACTCTCCACAAGCCTCGTTTGAAGAAGGACATGTCATAGCACTCGGGAAACACCGTGGAGGGGAGCTCATTCCATAGCCGGATGGTACGTGGCAAAAAAGACCTCTGGAAACGCACTGTGGATGACCGCAGTGGCTCCAGGTAGTATGGATTTATTCTACTCCGGTGGCGGGCGGTGCAATGGTAAAAACGAGATGCCGGTCTCATCTCGAACAATTCCGCAGAGCACTCCCCATGGAACATACGGTACAAAATATAGAGGGAACCGAAGTCCCTCCGCAGACCCAGAGGTTCCAAACCATTCGTGTTTAAGACATTATTCGTCAATTATCTTCTAATGATTTCTAAATTTAAATGACATTTGTTTTAATGGATTCTGGAAACATCTGGTACATTAAGAGATTCTTTCAGAAGGATCATCCGGTTGTATATAGAGTTGTTAAACTCCAACACATGACTACTCTAACAAATATGGTGTTTCCTGTCGGTCTTCTCTCGATGAAGCCTGACAATATATGTAGAAGTATTTGCTTATTTGCGGCTTTGTTGTACTTCTGGACTTGATTATGATCAACGGTGACCGCTCACTCATTTTTTTTATCCGGGGCCGAACCTCCTACGTGATCTCCGCGTCTAGGGGCTGCACGAAGTATATGGGACTGGATTGTTCCTAGAGATGGGGAGAGGACCGAGGACCCAAGAGGCGGCATTTAAGGCCTTTTTTTTGTCAGGAGGNTTTGCTTATTTGCGGCTTTGTTGTACTTCTGGACTTGATTATGATCAACGGTGACCGCTCACTCATTTTTTTTATCCGGGGCCGAACCTCCTACGTGATCTCCGCGTCTAGGGGCTGCACGAAGTATATGGGACTGGATTGTTCCTAGAGATGGGGAGAGGACCGAGGACCCAAGAGGCGGCATTTAAGGCCTTTTTTTTGTCAGGAGGAAATCGCCGGACTTCCGCCCTTTTCTGGGGATATTGGGCGGGGTATGTCAGAGTCGAACTGACTAAAACTCGCTCAACAACCAATGTACAAACTTCGCATGAGACAGAACTCATGACAAGGCAAAGAGGGGAAAGAGGAAAGTGAAGCGTTTAGTGCGGAGCACATCTCTCCCATCACCCTCCCCCTCGGGACGCCGGACTGGCGGTCGTCGGCGCCACGACCACCAGCCCTCTCGAACTGTCCGAAGCCCGCCTAGATGGCGCCGGTTAGAGTGGGTTTAAGGCCCTACCCAATAATGCACTCTCCTGCACTCTCGCCCAAGCGTCCGATCCCCCCGAGGTCAGAGCCCGGGCGGTCTAAGGTGGTTACTGCGATCCTGGTGGGCTGTGAGCTCGTCCACCCATATAAGCAATAAAAAAAAGATCATAATAATGATAAATGAAAATCAAAAGTTAGCTTAATCAACCGAAAATGTGTACGTAAAAAGAATACCGAGAACGCTTTTTTTATCAAAACAAGATCACGAGAAAAAATATATTTGTGGAAATTGATAATAAGGTTTTTAATCACAGTTTATTATTATTATTAGATACTAAGAATTCTGAGAACAACAATAATAAAATTAATTAATGCGCTATCGGCTGTAGCCTTTTATTTATTTTATCTTTGAGTATCTTCCGTGTGTTAGTTCCTTTTTTTTATTGCCTAGACGGTTGGACGAGCTCACAGCCCACCTGGTGTTAAGTGGTTACTGGGGCGCATAGACATCTACGACGTAAATGCGCCACCCACCTTGAGATATCAGTTCTAAGGTCTCAGTATAGTCTCAGCATTACTGCTTCACGGCAGAAATTGGTAGGGTGGTGGTACCTACCCGCGCGGACTCACAAGAGGTCCTACCACAAGACAAGAGGTCCTTATATCCAACCACCAGAAAGTTGTGGAAAAAACAATATGGAATATTTAAAAGCACTGTCCACTCTATTCGTATTAAGAGTACAAAAATGACTTCAATACATTCGGAAAAGAGTTGATCATTTTGAAAGCGAAAAAGGGTATAATTGAATTAGCAAACAAATTTTTTAGATGTCATTTAAAATACTAGAGCACTAAACTAGAATTATGGCTTAGTCCCTCGTCTTTCTTCTTCTCAATCGTGTCACTCTTGACAGAGTAGTCGTGATCATCATGTAGTGTTGGAAGGGGCAGACTTGATGCGTCTCACGATATCGCGCCATCTCTCTCTGCTCGAGGCCATTCTACTGCACTCATTTAGGTGACCTCCCACTGCAGTTTTAATTTGGTCGGTCCACCGTCTATTGTTTTCGATTTTTCGACAACTTTACACTTTTCATGGTCGCGGCTGACTAAGGTACTATTCATTCACATTAACTAGCCTCAAAATTTCAATTTTATCTTTCAATTCTATACATTTCGCGTGTAAAAAAAAGCAATTTATGAACTTTTATGCTTGAAGAAATTGCAAATCCGGAACACATTTTTGAATTACTATTACTTAATAATTTTTTATGTACTTGTTTGTTGGACTTTCAGATCGAATTAGGCAAACTATTTGTTCGTGGCGACCAAGTTTTTATTTTTCTCCTGTGTGCCTTAGTACAAGTTTTTTAATTTTTCGAACGCGGAAATGTTAACTCAAATTAGTTTTATTTTATTTTTATTGCTTAGATAGGTGGACGAGCTCACAGCCCACCTGGTGTTAAGTGGTTACTGGAGCCCATAGACATTTAGAACGCAAATGCGCCACCCACCTTGAGATATAAGTTCTAAGGTTTCAAGTATAGTTACAACGGCTGCCTCACCATTCAAAGCGAAGTGCATTACTGCTTCACGGCAGAAATAGGCGAGGTAGTGGTACCTACTCACGCGGACTCACAAGAGGTCCTACCACCAGTAATTACACAAATTATAATTTTGCGGGTTTGATTTTTATTACACGATGTTATTCCACGGTGAAGGAAGTCAACCGTGAACAATTTTTTTGGTACGTATTTCATTAGAAAAATTGGTACCCATCTGGGATTTGAACTCCAGTGCATCGCTTCAACACTAATGCACCGGACGTCTTACCCTTTAGGCCACGTCGACTTCAAAGTGTTGCTACCACTAGTCCCAGCAAGAGTAGTGCTTCGCAGAATTTATCACCGTTTCGGAAACGCGACCCACTGAGAAGATCCGCTGAGAAGCTCAGTGGGTTAACTAAACTCAATCTATGGGTTAATTTACTGACCGACATCCATAGTGGAGTCGAGATGGTATTATTCTAGGCCAACAATATACAGACGAAAAATCATTCTAAAAACTAAAGTAGTGGTTATAAACACGACTAGCATTCAAATTCCAATCTGATAGTCTTTGTTGTCAACATCGATATGAGATACTATCGCTTGAATTGTTTTTTTTATCGAATCAAAGCAGAAAACATTTCTCGGTTTTTCAATAATTACCTCATTTACTTTTTAATGCTAAAATTTATCGATCGATTTCAATAAACGTTATCTTGTTGGTTATTCCCAGCGCAGCTATGAACATTCAGTAGTTCTATCATAGACATTAATATCTATATATTAATAAGTGAAGAAAAACTTTGTATCCTTTTTTACGAAAATTGCGCGGACGGAGGAGTATGAAATTTTCCACACTTATATAGAGAATATAGAGAAGAAGTGCACAATGCTAATATTTTTTTTAAATAATGCATAAAAGATACATTAAATCAATAAAGAAAACATTACACACACTACATACCATGTATTTGACGCACACACGCATGCATACTATTTATTGTCAAACTTTTGTTCTTGACGTCTGTTGTTAAATTGAGAATAGATTAAATATTGTTTGTCTTTGTTAATATTTTTTATAGTGTAGTCTTGGCGAAATTTGTGATTATAGAAGTGTACAAACTTACAATTCCAGTTAATTATAGTCGAATTTCGACTACTGCGGGACCTCTAGTTAGAGATTAGTTTTCCTGTAGTTGAGAACAGCTCTACAAGTAGAGTTGTAGAGTTTAATTTTCCTCTAATTTACTTTTCCTAGTGAAGT